GAGAGGAACTTCATCACGTGGTTTTCCTTCTCCTGAAGTCAGATCAGGTAGCCACGGCAGCAGGATTAGCAGGTTTATCTCCTGCTAGCTGCTGCTGACAGGAAGCTGCTCTAATCCTGCAGTAATTAGCTCTCAGGAGGAATTGGTGACGTGTGTCAGAGCAGATCCCTGTGGATTTAACACATCCACCTGGAAACCTGACATCAACATTTCTTCTCTCATCAACTATAGAAGGTCCTGATCTAACTCCACCATTGATCGTTCTCACTGACCTGCTGCAGATCTTCACACCCCTCAGCTGGAGGAGAATCAATTAGAAACCAAACCTGGTAAAACTTTCTGATTGGAAGGGTGTAGTGCTTAATTATTTTAAATGTTGGTTTTATTTAATACAGATTTTTAATAGAATAAAATTCTCAATGAGGGAAAAATAAAATCCAAAAGCAAAGACAATATTTCAGAATATTATCATACTGGTTACAATCCACTCATGCCTGCAGAGCTTACCAGAAAACCCCCCGTGTGTGGACTACCTTCCCTCTCTTAGTCCCTATATATATATATATATATATATATATATATATGTACAGGTGCTGGTCATAAAATTAGAATATCATGAAAAAGTAGATTGATTTCAGTAATTCCATTTAAAAAGTGAAACTTGTATATTATATTCATACATTACATACAAACTCATATATTTCAGATGTTTATTTTGTTTAATTTTGATGATTACAAATGACAACAAATGAAAATCTCAAATTCATCATATCAGAAAATTAGAATATTACTGAAGACCAATAAAAACAAAGGATTTATAGAAATGTTGGCCAACTGAAAAGTATGAACATGAAAAGTATGAGCATGTACAGCACTCAGTATTTAGTTGGGCCTCCTTTGGCCTGTATTACTGCAGCAATGCGGCGTGGCATGGAGTCGATCAGTCTGTGGCACTGCTCAGGTGTTATGATAGCCCAGGTTGCTCTAATAGTGGCTTTTAGCTCTTCTGAATTGTTGGGTCTGGTGTATTGCATCTTCTTCTTCACAATACCCCATAGATTTTCTATGGGGTTAAGGTCAGGAGAGTTTGCTGGCCAATTAAGAACAGGGATACCATGGTCCTTCAACCAGGTACTGGTAGCTTTGGCACTGTGTGCAGGTGCCAAGTCCTGTTGGAAAATGAAATCTGCATCTCCAAAAAGTTGGTCAGCTGCAGGAAGCATGAAGTGCTCTAAAACTTCCTGGTATGTGGCTGCGTTGACCCTGGACCTCAGAAAACACAATGGACCAACACCAGCAGATGACATGGCACCCCAAACCATCACTGACTGTGGAAACTTTACACTGGACTTCAAGCAACGTGGATGAAGTGCCTCTCTTCTTTTCCTCCAGACTCTGGGACCTTGATTTCCAAAGGAAATGCAAAATTTACTTTCATCAGAGAACATGACTTTGGACCACTCACCAGCAGTCCAGTCCTGTTTCTCTTTAGCCCAGGCAAGACGCTTCTGACGCTGTCTGTGGTTCAAGAGTGGCTTGACACAAGGAATGCGACAGCAGAAACCCATGTCTTTCATACGTCTGTGTGTGGTGGTTCTTGAAGCACTCACTCCAGCTGCAGTCCACTCTTTGTGAATCTCCCCCACATTTTTGAATGGGTTTTGTTTCACAATCCTCTCCAGGGTGCGGTTATCTCTCTTGCTTGTACACTTTTTTCGACCACATCTTTTCCTTCCCTTCGCCTCTCTATTAATGTGCTTGGACACTGAGCTCTGTGAACAGCCAGCCTCTTTAGCGATGACCTTTTGTGTCTTGCCCTCCTTGTGCAAGGTGTCGATGGTCGTCTTTTGGACAACTGTCAAGTCAGCAGTCTTCCCCATGATTGTGTAGCCTATAGAACTAGACTGAAAGACCATTTAAAGGCTTTTGCAGGTGGTTTGAGTTAATTAGCTGATCAGAGTGTGGCACCAGGGGCCATCAATTTTGAACCTTTTCACAATATTCTAATTTTCTGATATGATGAATTTGAGATTTTCATTTGTTGTCATTTGTAATCATCAAAATTAAACAAAATAAACATCTGAAATATATGAGTTTGTATGTAAGGTATGAATATAATATACAAGTTTCACTTTTTAAATGGAATTACTGAAATCAATCTACTTTTTCATGATATTCTAATTTTATGACCAGCACCTGTATGTATATGTACACAATATATATATATATATATATATATATATGTATGTATGTATGTATGTATGTATGTATGTATGTATGTATGTATGTATGTATGTATGTATGTATGTGTATGTATATATATATATATATATATATGTATGTATGTATATATATGTATGTATATATATATATATATATATATATATATGTATGTATATATATATATATATATATATATATATATATATATATATATATAAGGAGTGAATTGTATTCCATTATTAAAAATGCTGACCAAAAGTGAAACTTTGAAAATATTAGTAATCCAAAAAGTAATGATCAGAGTTATTTTGATATTTTCTTAGATTTCATTTTTTAAATGATCAAATTTTCCTTTTTTCCCTTTTATTATCAAGCTTTATTTTTCAAACTTTTATACAGGTTTCATGTTTTCACATAGCATTTTTTTTATTTCGATGCAGACTACCTTCCCTATCTTAATCACAATATATATACTATATATATATATATTTTTTTTTTTACTGGTAATTTTTTTCTAGCAGTATTTTATGCAGGCGATTTTTCACCAGATAAAAATTCAGTGTAAGGAATTAAATGTGTTAAGACATTTCAGTGGTTAAAACTCTAGGCAAGCTAAAAATCTTGAAAAAGAATGGTCTTTCACAGCTCATCGACGTGAAATGAAATAGTATGAAATATATAAAAAAAAAATGTCAAAATTAAAATAAGTAAAAACAGCAAAGTTACTCTTTCTTCTTTTTATTTTTTATTTTTCAAAGTTTAACTTCTAAAATTTATTTATTTTTCTTCAAATTTATGTTGACAAGAGTTGTGGCGCTGTGGTTAGCGCACATGACCTATGTTTGGATGCCTTAGTCCTTGATGTCGGGGACCCGGATTCAAATCTGGCCGGTGGTCCTTTCCTGCTTTTCTCTCCCACTTTCTCATACCCCCTTTTCTGTCAGCCGACTGTCCATAAAACGAGCCACTAGTGCCGTAAAAAAACAAGAGTTGTTTTTTTGCAACAAGAATAAAACAAAAGTCACTTCATAACATTCCTGACACATTCCAAAAGCCAACAAGGGATCCTGATTTATAAAATATTCAGCTGGTTCTTTGAGCTGATCATACTGTAGACATATTTTTATGGGTCGAGGGACTGCCATACCTCGGTGCATGGACGTCCTTGGAAAAGATGCAGTCCTGAAGGCAGCAGATGTTTCTGCTCCAACCTCTTACCATCACAAGGTCAAGGGGGCATGTCTGCTTTTCCAAAATGATCCCATTCAGTCTGTAGGAAATTCAGCAATTCAGGTACCTGAGTGAAAGACACAAACTGCATTAATTGATTATTTAAAAAATAAATAAAGCCTGGCTTGAACAGAAGCATTAGTCCAGTACAAATATGGTCAGAATCTCTCTCCATCACCTGTCATCATACCAATGCCTCCTTTGTGTCCACAATGAGCACAGCAACATTGTATGCCAGTTTGCATCTGACTCCCAAAGTACTAAATCTTGACTTAAAAACTGTGCCTCAATATCAGTTTCATATCAGTTAAGTCGCTTGGCAGAAGGAAAGTGTTCACATTGTTTGGTCATCTGCATATCCATCGTGTGACAGAGTTGGTAGAAATTACCACACTGACTAGAGAAGCTTGTTATCCTTACAAAAGTGCACAGGCTGAAATGTTTTTCCCTTTGTTCTGCTAATTTTTGACACAAAATTCCATAGACTCCTGGTTTGTAGATCAGGTTTGCACGTGCTACCAAATTTACCAACTAGAGATGCACGATATTGTGATTTTGGCCGATATCCGATATGCCGATATTTTAAAACTCATGTAGTCGATAACCGATATCGATACTGATGTTAAAGCTGGACAAAAATACGTAGTCGTTGAAAATAGCAGTTTTGTTATCAATTTCTGACACTTTGAAAAATAATATACTCAAGTATATTTTCATATGCTGATATCAAATTGATTTTTAAAAACGCGGTATCGATCTATTTTACTTTCAAAATTTCGTGAAATTTCATCGTTCTGTTACAAACTCTCGTGATATTTTGCAAATTCTTGTGAGATTTTGTTAGTAAAATAGATCGATACCGCGTCAATATATCAACATATAAAAATATGGCAACATTTCGTGAATTTTCGGGGGATTTCGTAGCATAACGATGACATATAGCAATATTTAATTAGTAAAAGAGATTGATATGGTGTTTTTAAATGGCAATATATCAGCATATGAAGATATTGGGATATTTTAATGTATCAATATTTTTTCCCTCGTCTTTAGAAGTTTTTAAGTCTGTAAAAAAGACGTTTTTGAGGAAGAAGAAGAAGTAGTTTTTAGACTTTAGAAACTCAGAAGCTGATCAAATATCGGGTTAAATATTGGTGGGGTGGCCGATGTCCAATATTCAGTTTTAAAATACAGGCCGATACCGATAGGGGGCCGATTATATCATGCATCCCTAATTTTGACATCAAAACCTTTTTTGCCTAAACTGAATCTTTGCCTCATAGACTCATATTGTGTTGTGTAGCATTAAGTGGAGGGGCCGATATATTTAGACAATTCAATGCATCTGAGGAGTTAGAATATTGAATATCGTTTTACTATGGAGTGGACTTTGTTTCCATTATTGTTTTAAGCAGGTTGGATACTGAGTGAATATCTGACCTGAGGGGGAGCTCATATCAGCGCTTCCTGCTTAGACATCTCTGATTTGCTGGTTTTTTGTTAGAAATTCCTTTATGGATCAGTGAGGCGTTTTCTTTCTTCTTCAGGCTCTGCAGTCTGACTCTTAAGAAGTTGATGTTGTTCAGGGAGCTGGACCAAGACCTCACCTCGTTCATCATTGCTGTGAAGATCCAGGTGAGCCTCAAACGTTTCCCTATGATTGGGTTCTGCAAAAAGAGAATTACTCTGCAGCGTAGCTCCCAAAAACAGCTGAGAGAGCCTGGCCTGTTTTTAGGAACATCTTAACCTTAACCTCACAGCATTCCTACCTACACCTAAAGAAGCCTATGGTCAAATGTCTGCAGCGTCCCCTTGGGTCGCTATATATGATGGGTAACAGATTATGGTGTATAAACCGCAATACGGGGTCTATCTCTCTGAAGAGCTAGCAAACCACAGACCAAAAACAACATAATTCCTAAAATCGGCTCTACTGTTACCGTCAGTTATATGAATATCTAACCCTCTTTAGTTCTGGTATAAACAGGATGAATGATCCATGTTTTGTTTCCAGGCTGCAGCTCAGTTTGAACCTTAAAGCATTTCCATGGCAACCTGGCCTTTCCTTTTTTCTGCCTTTTTTATCTACAGTTTTCATAACTTCTGACATAATAAACCAGTCATGACCTAATTGCGGTTCTGGTTCTCAGGGTTCAAAGCGGACTTTGAGATCCAGCGAGTACCTTCTTCCTCCTGGGAGCCTGGTGGAAACAGATCTGGAGCTCACCTTCTCCCTGCAGGTTCATCTTCTCCTCAGTCATGAAAATAACACAGAGACCAGATTTGTTGCTGATGTTAGCTCCTGTCTGTCTTCTGTCGGTCAGTATCCCCACTTCTTGAAGAGAGACACCAATCGTCTGCATGTGATGCTGCAGAGGAGGAAGAAGTACAAAAACCGCACCATCCTAGGCTACAAATCACTCGCTGTGGGTGTCATCAACATGGACGAGGTTAGACAAGAAGCAGCTGCAGGCTGGATGACCGGCTACCATCTTGCTTCTAGAGAAAACTCCTGCAAACAGCCAGACTGATTCAGGGTCATGACCTTTAACCTGTATGGTTAGACAGACAGTTTATTTTCACACCACAGAAAGTTTTAATTCCACCAGAGCATTTTACTGGCTTCTCTGTGTGTCGGTGTCTGTGTTTGCCTGGAAGGTGATGCAGCATCCAACGGATGGAGCCCAAATCCTTGGTCTCCATAGCAACCAGAAGGATGCTTCAGTGCGAGCAGCAGAACTGAGCGTCCATTCTTTGTCTAGCCAGCCGGTCGAGCAAGAGGATGTGTGTAGTCACCATGGCAACAAGACTAAAGCTTCAGGTAGGAGGACAGAAGTGGACATCCTGGAAGCTGAGCACAAAACAAACAGACACACTAAAACAATGCAGCTAACTGAACTTTGGATCTGCAATTATTTAAATAACCACATCTTTGAGATGTCCTTCGTCCATTTTTACCTCTACCTTCGATTAGCTTTGATTGTAATTCTTTCTCATAATTTTTCGTCCTGTGTGTAACCCCTCTCCTTTTAAAAACTTTTTACTCAAAAAAAGATTTTCTCAAAATCCCTTTTTGACATTTTTTGAAATTGTTTTTTTTCTTTTCAAATAAATGTATTCAAATGTTATATTTTCAAATTTCTTTCTTCTTAAGTATTTATTTTAAATTTTTTGGTCAGAACCATGAAGCCCAAAAGGAACAGCAATGGCCTACAGGCATAATTTGTGCTTTTTCCTAACGTCTGCTGCTATTTTATGAGTTACTGTCATTTTGTAAAACCAAATTATGGTAACAAACATTAGGTGTCTCTGCACAGAATCAGCTCAGAAGGTTCTGCTGAACAACTCTCCTTTGTCTGAATAGATTCGATATGAACAAACCCAGATTAATTATATGTAGAGCAGAGGTCACGGATTAGCGGACTGCAGTTCGGATCCGGACCCACCTGCTGGCTAATCCAGACCCAACCTGATTTAAAACATTTATAAATTACAACATGTTGTCCGACGACAGAGTCTAAACACGAAATCCCACGTCCTCCGCTCCGCTCCAGACTTCCTGCGCAAAGCAGCACCTACAGCCTCCGCTGTTCCTTCTGTCTTGCTCCTCTACGACTTCCTCGGAGCTCAAGGAGAGCATGCGCTATATTATTATTAAAGTCAGGAGCAAAACATGTGGAAATGAACTCTTAATATGTTATTATGACATATTTAATATGCTAATATGACATATTAAAAAAATCCCCACCATCATCCAGCCAGCATATGTTTCAGAGAAATGTTAGTTCTCTGCTTCCAAACTCAGCATCTCTTCATCCAGGCCTGAGATGAGAAGTTTCTTTTGAAATTGTGAGTGGCGCTCTTGTATGGAGGATAAAAAGTGCCACAATTAAATAAATAAATACAAAGATAAACAATTAATTAAATGTGTAATTCATTAAATAATTAAGGAATTAAATATATAAATGTGTCATTAATTTAATAAAATACGTCTTCATTTTATAAAAAAAATATCTATAATTATTTCAGTGTGCATTTAATTATTTCACGGTCCTGTGTCGCAGTGCATCGAAACCATTAAAAGAATCTGTCAAACTCACCCATCAAAGTTAGAGGGCGGGGTTAACGCGAATCGAGTCGCCACCTACTGTATCAGAGTATGTTCACAACCTGTGGATCACAGTCTCTGTAATCGATTTGCTTCGCCTTAATGTGCAGGGTGACCAATCAGGTGTTAGATAACCGCCCCCTAACTTTGATGGGTGAGTTTGACAGATTCTTTTAATGGTTTCGATGCACTGCGACACAGGACCATGAAATAATTAAATGCACACTGAAATAATTATATATATTTTTTAATAAAATGAAGACGTTTTTTATTAAATTAATGACACATTTATATATTTAATTCCTTATTTATTTAATGAATTATACACTTAATTGTTTATTGCTGTATTTATTTAATTGTGGCACTTTATGTTAGTGACGTGGTTTTTAATTAATGAATGACACATTTATTTATTTCATTCCACATTTAATTAATTATTGACACATTTAATTATTTATTTAATGCTGTATTTATTTATTTAATTTTGGCACTTTTTATCCTCCATACACTTGGGCGTTCTGACTGGATTTGGTGAAAATTTTGAGCCTCTTAGTATAAAATAAATATTTTGATCGAGATGAGAAATCTGCCTCCTGGTATGTTGAAGTACCAATATTTTGCATCCAATAATTTAAACAAATGGTCTTAGTTTTTTGGGAATATATAAGCTCACAAATGAGCCTAGAATGGCTTAGTCTCCATTCAAACCCTGGTTTAAAGCTTTGCATGGCAGCATAAAGCCCACTGCTCTCATTAAGCCATAAAAAGAAAACAAACAAACGGTCAGTTCAGGTGTTTCATAAATTATGTAAATCAGGAAATTGTCTATATACCGGACTGAACAATTGTTGTTCTCTACTTCAAAAAACACTTTAGATTTTAAAATTTACAAATGTTCTATTTTTTTTTATATTTTCTATTTAAAAATTCAATGTATAACATGGATTCATAAAAACTGCATTTTATTGCAGTATTAATTTCTGTTTAAAGTAACCGATTATGATAAAAAGACCTTTACTGGTTGATGATTTTCTTTATTCGGACCCCGCTGATTTTTTATTGGTTACCCCTGATATAGAGCTTAACCTTAAATTCATTAAAATTACTTTCATATATCAGTGTTATCATAAAAAAGAGTAGTTTAAAATTATTTTAAAATTATCTTTTCTTCTGGGTCTGGCTCCAAACAGATTGTATATGTAAACCCATAAAAAGAGAATAATAAAAAAAAAGTGTTTCAAAAGTTTTGGTCAAAGTAAAACATCATAACAATACTTAATTGTTGCACAAGGTTATAGTAGAAGTAATAGAATATTTCTTTAGTTAAATTTTTGAAAAAAAAAGTTCTGCTCTCTGATTCATAGATTAAGAAACAAAACCACACAGAGCAGAAAAAAGGCACATTTTATTCACGTGTGACACAAAACAGCTCCTGAGGCAGGATGTGATCATGACATGTTTGTTTGTGCAGATCGTTCTCCTGACACGGAACATTACTGGGAGGACGACGACGACAGTTTCTTCTCAGATCAAGAAGGAAGTGATGATGCTCTCCCGCCTCAGGTAACTGATGGTTCGTCCAAAATACAAATACATGATGAAAACCAAATACATGATGTCGTCCCAGAGCCGTACTTCCTTCTAAATATAATATTTAAAAATTCTCCCAGTTTAAGGCGTTCCGATGGGGTTTAGAGGCGGACGCGTTCTAGACTAGGGTTGGCAGTTTACAGTGACACAAACATGGCAATCAGAGGAGTCCTAGTAATGACCGCTTTCTATGACAGTGTTCAGATCTCTTTCCAGGGTCTTCACCAGAGGAATTTGAGGTAAGAAAGGAATGTTATGTGGAGGAGGCCAGCAGCCCTGCCTGAACCTTACGGGCATGAGCCGCCGGCTTTGTGGCTCCTTTCTCCTCCCACATACGGTGGTTTCCATGGGGACCGTCAGAAAAAACTCCAAACCAAACACTCCTTGTTCACAAAAATGAATAACTTTCATTACTTGTGATTCAGTGACACAAAATAAATGGCAGATAATTATGGCAAGGCAAGCCAGGCAAATTTATTTGTATAGCACAATTCAGTACAAAGACAATGCAAAGTGCTTTACATGATTAAAATACAGGAAAATAAAACAGAATCAAAGCAAGTAGGAAAAAATAAAAAATAAATAAGAATATTAAAAACAAAAAAGAATATTACAAACAGTTGGACTAAAGAAATTATGTTTTAGTTGAACTGTTTAACTAGAACAGTCGAAGGCAATCCTAAACAAATGTGTTTTTAGTCTTGATTTAAAGGAACTCAGGCTTTCCGCACTTTTACAGTTTTCTGGAAGTTTGTTCCAGACAAGTGGAGCATAGGAACTAAATGCTGCTTCTCCATGTTTAGTTCTGGTTCTTGGTATGCAGAGCAGGCTGGAGCCAGAAGACCTGAGTGGTCTGGAGGGTTGATACACTGATAGCAAGTCTGTGATGTATTTAGGTGCTAAGCCATTCAGAGATTTATAGACTAACATAAGATTTTAAAGTCTATTCTCTGAGATACAGGGAGCCAGTGTAAGGACTTTAGAACTGGGGTGATGTGCTCTACTTTCTTAGTCTTAGTGAGGATACGGCCAGCAGCGTTCTGGATCAGCTGCACTTTTTAGGCAGACCTGTGAAAACACCGTTGCAGTAGGCAATTCGACTAAAAATAAACGCATGGATTAGTTTTTCCAGGTCATGCTGATACATTAGTCCTTTAACCCTGGAAATGTTCTTCAGGTGATAGAAAGCTGATCTTATTATTGTCTTTAAATGCTTTTGGAGGTTCAAGTCTGAATCCAGCACTACACCTAGATTTCGGGCCTGATCAGTGGTTACTAGCTGAAGCGACTGAAGCTGTGTGCTAACTTTAGATCTCTCCTCTATTGGTCCAAAGATTATTACTTCAGTTTTGTTTTTATTCAGTTGAAGAAAATTATGGGACATCCAGGCATTGATTTCTTCTAAGCATTTCCTTAGTGCTTGAATTATGTTAGACTAGAGGCACACTTATTTTTTATGTATTTCTTATTTAATGAACTTCTTTATTTACCATTATGGCTTGTTCATAATGGTATAAATTGGCCTAAATAGTCTTTGACATTGTTAAAATTTGCATACAAGCTTTGACTATTGTAATGCATAATAGATCATTTATTTTCTGTTTTAACTGCCCGTTTGTATTCTTCAGTATAGTATGAACAATCATCAATTATATCCCTGTAAAAATAATGGGTCAGTGTCCTCTTCCATGTCCTGTCCTCTACTACGTGTAATTAAAAACTCTCTGCTCCAAATGTTTTGAATCAACAATAATCTCAGCTAGCGATGAAATGTGTGCACCTATCGTTAAGTCAGTAGGCGCTGACTGTGTCAACCCACAGATGATGCCGGTTGTAAACTTTTCTGTAAGCTAAGCTGCCTGATTTTTACTCCCCCGGGAACAATTCTGCCTGTCAGGAGTCAAAGCTGGCATTTATGTTTTCCAGGAGATGCAGAATGAGGACGATGACATCCATAGAAAGATAAAGAGATCTCACAGAAAAATCCTGCAGACAGCATCGCTGGCCCAGGTGAGGACCTACCTCAGCTCTAGTTTCTGTGGAATAATCAACCAAATAATAAAACATTGTTTTTGTTTTTTTGTCTTCCAGCATCCAAACCTTAAACAGAAGCTGGTTGCTCTGTTGAAGAGATTTAGGATCACTGATGAGGTTTATTCTGAATACTTGTCAGCTAAGAGTCATTATAGGAATATTTTAACATAGCGTAGCCATTAGCGATATAACAAGTATGACCTCAGGCAAACAAAGTGTAAATGCTAAGTCTTTCTGATGGATGATCTGAACATGAAGCTAGAGGTGGTGTCTGTGTTGCTGTTTTATAAAAGAACAGCCCTTTTATTAGAAACAGAATTGTTCACATTTGACTGAAGAATAAAAAGTGTTGTTGTCAATGCATGTTGCAGAACCTAATCTGGACCCCTCTGTGTGCAGAGTGACCCTGTTGGTCAGACTCAGGATGCTGAGTCTGACCAGGATCTTGATCTACTGTACGGCAGCATTGAGGTTGATAACATGAGTGACAGCGGCCGGGACATGTATGACATTGAGAGCATCCAGAGCACCCCCAAACCCAAACTCAGGTCAGCCTTAACAGTCCTCACTTAACAAATGTATAACATGCAAAGCTAAAGCATCCATCTCTCTGTCCATCCGTTATCCATCTGTAAAGGTAAATTGGTGCTGCAGGAAAAGGAACTGACTGGAACAGGAATGGCTGTGGGTAGGGGTGCAGGTCTACTGGCTGAAAGCAACTCAGAGGTGTTTGAGGTGCGCTGAATGAAAGTCACTAACCTTCGCAGAAGCTGGGCGTCTGGGCTGGCTCTGATGATTGATCCCCTGTAGAGAGGGCTCAGGCTAGAAGAGGTTGTAGTCAGTCAGTCTGGGGGTTATGCACAAAGAAGCATTCTACTTGGCAAAGGTTTCAAGACGGACTAAACAAGAGGAGAATCAAGGCAAGATAATCAATTTCTGAGTTCAGATTCAGAGTCTGAGTCCTCTGAAGGCCAGATTTATTGATTGACTACATCATAGCACGGCGCTGAGGCATGCTTGGATTGGAAGACTCGTCATTGTGCAGACAAATTCAGCCTTCTTTTTGTCCCTTTTGAAGGACGGGTTCACTGTATCCTTCATAGCTTTGGATATCCCATGATTCATTGCGAGTCTAAGAAAGCTGCTCCTTGCTCAGAGGAAAAATGTAAATGGCGCTGAACAGTGGTGAATATTGTAAGTTCAGTTTAATATAATAAAAGTATGTGAATAGTTCCATCTGAAAATAAAGAAAATAGTTTTTTTAAATGGTTATTGAGTCCGATATGTGGCGGGTAATGTTTGGTTTATTAAAAGGTTTTTATCTGCCCTGTGCAAATGGGTTTCTGCTGACATTTAAGGACAGATTCTAATATATCTCTAATGTGGGGACTATAAATCTGATATTCACGATGACGGTTTTGCTGCTGAAGGTCCTCAAAAATGTTATTAGCATCCAGAAAAGTAGTGAGAAGTTCACTATCAATTCTTTGCCTACTTTTTGGTTCAACTGTTACGTAGACAAACTCTTATGGCCTCCTTATTTTCACGAACCTCAAAGGACCCAGTTCTACGGAAGAGGATTAGGGCCAGTGGGAAAAAAAAAAAAGTTAACTGATTTTTAAATTTCATTTCAGTTTAGTATGGGAAAAAAGTCAGAATTCTGAGATGTTGATGTTAAACTGAAATAAAATATAAAAATCAGTTAACTTTTTTTTTTCAGTGGCCCTAATCCTCTTCCGTACAGTTCAGGTCCTTGGAGGACAAAGCTGCTGACATCGAACACATCAGGTATCAGAAGGCAGGGGTGGCTTTGCCGACAAGGGACATCGGCAGCTCCCTGTGGCGCCACCTGCTGGTCAGGGTGGAAAATTACAGAATGTAAACAAAAAATAATTAAATATATGCATCTATGTATTATAAAAAGCATAATACTTAGGATATCTAGTTGCTAATAAGAATTCCAGAAGTGTTAATGGATTAGTGGAGGATGTTTTTTTTTCTGGGTAGATCATCAAAATAATTTGTCCTCCTAACTGTCAATCATTCTGGTGATATGCTTACGTAAGGCTGTCCTATGTGCTCGTCCCCATTTTCACTTACTGGTGGTGAGTTTGACTTCGTGGAAAACTTGCAAACCTTCTTTTGGAAAGTAAGCTTGTATGAGCGATGCAAACAGCAACTTTTAAACAGAGCATGCAAGCTCTAGCACGTATTTGATAGGCGTTCTCTCTCAGGAGGGGGGACAGGGTTTTGCATGTGCATTTTTTTTTGAAGTGGAGTCTTTTCACAAATGTGCGAAATCCTCCAAAATACCATCACGTTTTCTGAGGATGTTAGGGATGTTTTGGAGTTTAAGTTTTAGCCCACATTTTTTTTTCCAACTTGAAAATTCTAAATGTTTTTTTTTTTTTTTCTACAAAACTTCTACTTTCATGAGTGAAGAAGAGCTTCTATGAGCCTCGTGCAGACAAGTTGACGTGAGTTTTTGTCTGCAGGCCATTCTTTGAAAGCAACTCTCAGATTGAAATGAGGAGTTCGGAGCATCAGAAAGAACAAACAGCTGCTGTGAGTAAAACTGTACCCGGATCAAACCTACATAGAACCCTGATTGTTATTCAAATGTTAATAATTTTTCTCCTGAATGAAACATTTATTTGGTGGCTTGAACATTTCCAAAAACTCACAAAACAAACTCCTCCTAGAGATTTTAAGCCACCAGCTTGGCCATTATGCAGGTAATGCATATGAGATTTAAAGTTATCAAAATCGAACGTTTTTGAGTATGTTGAAGGGGCGTGGCCAGGCCTCGAATTCAGCGTACTTTTCAATCAATTAGAAATGCAATAACCTTTACAAAAAGATTCCAAATCGAACCAAGTTTGTTAGTAATGATCCCCTTCGGGTGCCTGGTGAAACTGGCTGGTACAATGATGGCATCATCAAAGCCCGCACCCTGAAAGAGGGAAGTAACTTTCGCTTAGGGCGGGGGCGGGGGCTTTCTGACATTTTTAACCTCATCAACTTGAAAACAGGTCAGAAGTCTAATGCCTCTGTGCCTTAAATAAGTCTAACTTTATTTAAGGCACAGAGAATTTTAGTTAAATTGTGTTACCATGGCTACGGAAGAGGATTAGGGCCAGTGGAAAAAAAAAAAAAAGTTAGCTGATTTTAAAATTTTATTTCAGTTTAGTATGGGAAAAAAGTCAGAATTCTGACTTTTTCCTCAGAATTCCGACTTTAATCTCAGAATTCTGACTTTTTTCTCAGAATTCTGACTTTTTTCTCAGAATTCTGACCTTTTTCTCAGAATTCTGACTTTTTTTATTGTAAAAATTCTGTCAGAATTCTGAGATTAAAGTCAGAATTCTGATAAAAAAGTCAGAATTCTGAGATTAAAGTCAGAATTCTGAGAACAAATGCCAGAATTCTAAGAAGAGTCAGAATTCTGAGATTAAAGTCAGAATTCTGAGAAAAAAGTCAGAATTCTGAAAAAAAAAGGCAGAATTCTGACTTTTTTCCCATGTTAAACTGAAATAAAATTTAAAAATCAGTTAACTTTTTTTTTTTTTCTAGTGGCCCTAATCCTCTTCCGTACATGGCGGGATGGCAAAATGAGGCGTTTTGCCATGACCATACATTTGGCTATCAGATAAGGGATTATTAATATAGATACAGAGTATTTACTGTTCTCAGGCTATAATGGATAAATATTGTGAAATAAAGCATGACAATATAAATACAGCATACTGATTATATAATTTTAAGGATTCATTTCAGTTTATTTATATAATGGCAATTTACAACACATTTCTTCTAAAGGCACGTTACAGAGATAATTCAATTGACTCATTTATTTTATGCCTTTATATTTAAAATCTATAGTTTATCTTGCAGAGTTTAGAATGTGGACAAATTAGCATTTAGTTTATAGCCGCTGAAATGTATAAGTATCATATTATTTAGTAAAATAATGTTTTATTAAATGATTTGTGTAAATTCATAGTCTTTGTATTGATTAATTTAAATAGCTTTATATGTTTTTTTCAAATGGAATAATCAGGGGTCTGAGCTAGGGTGACCATTTCTATAGCACCAAAAAGAGGACATTATGCAACATATCAATAAATTACTCAGGTGTATATAAGGATTTGGTATACTCTCGTCTATAGTACAATTCTGAGGGGTTTAAAAAATGAAATAAAAAAAATTATTTGTTCACAGTATTTGTATTTACTCAATACACTGTGATGCACAAAAAGGGACCAATGAGATTATTCTTTTAAAATGCAGAATGAGACAAAGCATAACATATGTAGACTATGCTGACATATGTAGATTAAATGTGAAAAAAAAAAGAAAAAAAAAAAAAGAAAAAAAATTCAACAGGTACCATACATAATAAAAAAAGTTGAACCTTTTATGTAAACGGTCATAATAATTTCTTTTTTTTTTTTTTTTTTTTTTACTACAGTGTCCTGTCTGGCAATATGAATAATTGTCTTGATGCCAAAAAGAGCCCAACAGATTTTACTTTCACAAGTGGAGCAGTATGGTAATTGCCATATTGCTCCACTTGTTTCATGCATATAAATTGCTTTATTATAATTATGCAGGGAGTTTTACAGTTTATATGGACACTGCAATGTAAATAGAGCAGAAAAACAGAAGAAGAAAAAGGAAAAAAGAAAAAAAAAGGAGAAAAGATGAAAGAAAGAAGAGATACAGTAGAAAGGAGACAATGACAAAACATTTTTTCTGTCTGCTTCATCACCTGTAACGAGATGAAAAAAGAACAGCACAACAGAAAGACATGGTACGAGATATACAATAAAGCAACACCTTGAAACTATCGCTAAAGTAATATTATTAAGTCTGATATGTACTCTGTGTTACCTGAAGATATGAATGTGGGGGTTTCTGTACGGTCACAATTATCAAAAATAATCAAAAACCCATAGTGTTTGGCTTTTTAATACTTTCCCTACCTCCTGAAAGGTTGTCACCGTGTATAAGGGATTGCTGCTGCCTGCAGATAACTAAATGCTGTTTCGACCAGGTGGAGCCCCTGTCTGCTGGATCTCCCAGGTCCAACTGCACTGAGGGGCCCAGAGAAGATGAGGTGGGCTCTGGGCTGAGTTTATATCATAAAAAGAAAGGCTCTTTGGGTTTCGGATGCATGATTTTCCTTTTCCTTTTTTTCCTATTCGTTTCTCCTTATGCAGGAAGCGGAGGATGGCGCCTTGGCAACAGATGCAGGCCCTGCAGCCAAAACAGAGCTGCAGACACACATCTCCCCAAGGTAGGCCTACCGACTTCCATTTATCTACGCTTGACGCTGATAATAAGCCTGACCCAACTCGTTAATTCTACATTCCTCCGCAGTAAGACAGGAAGTCAACATCCAACAAGGACCGTCTCCTTGAAGGACCGACAGAACTCCAGAGGGATGGACAGGAACAGCAGTGTGGACAGTGAGACGTCATGTGACCATAGGATACCTGCTCCGCAGGTCTCACACACAGACACCCATATGGTCATTCTGTTGCCTAATCCTAACCCTAAACCCAGTCTGCAATAAGTGCCATTTAAAACTCAGTTCTAAACCTAAACAAAAACCCCAAAGCAGCACTGCTTCTCCTGGGAACCAAATCAGCATGTTCTTACAACATAGCAGAGGCTGAGAAGAATGAGCCTTACACGGTAGCAACAACACCTACATAGAAATACGAACATATCCACTCAGCTGAGGCTGCCAAACGGGTGGGGTCAGGAAGCACAGAACCTTTCAGATCTAAGTCCAGACCCACATCTGGCCCATTATTAGACCAAGCATGAGTTCATATTCTGATCCGGTTTCAGGTCTACTTCATTTAAAATCTAAGTTTAGATCCATATTTTCATCAATTCTAAGCTCAGGTCCAGGCTGAAAGTAAAGTTCTTCTCTGAACAGTGGTCCGTCTGTTCAGGTGGCCCGTAAGGTGGTTTTGGATCAACTCAACAGCATTCTGCTCTCAGAGGATCAGGTACCAGACTCCATCATCCTGATCAACACCACAGACTGGCAAGGTCAGGTACGTCTCACTCTGAACCGAGGCAGACTTTGTTCCTGGACAGTGACACGATGAGATACGTCTTCCGCTTCCTTCTCAGTACCTGTCAGAGCTTCTCTTTGATCAGCCAATCGTGTGCAGCGTCTCATCCGCTGATGTTCAGGCTGCCTTCAGCACAATCATCGCCCGCCTCCAGAGATTGTAGGAGTTCTCTTATTCGTCTTTTCTGAAGTCCTCTGCAGCTTCCCTTCTTTCTGATGTTTGACCTGAATGTGTCTTTCAGCTGTAACTATAACTCCCAGACTCCACCCACAGTGAAGGTGGGGGTGGCCGGAGACCAGAGTTACCTCAACACCGTCCTGAACTGCTTTGTGGATCAGCTGGCCAATAAGACGCCTGATTGGCTGCATTACCTCTGTTTCCTTATCATCCCTTACGGTAGGCACTGCTACAAACTCATCAGACTGAACATCTGATCAGCTTTGGTTCTAAGCAGGAGGTTTCTCTCCGTGGCTTCAGTTAAAGGAATAGTACACCCAAAACATGATATCTCAAATGCATCTGGAGATCTGGGAGGCTTCTTGCTGTCTGCTGACATTGAAACAATGGAGGTCTATGGTGCCCGAGGCAGAAAGGTCAATAAAAGTCCACAAAAAACGTGTCAATATTCCTCCATACTGCTCGTCCAATGTATTCCAAGTGTCCTGAGTGGGTAGCGTCCATAATTTACTCGAAACGAAGTCATTTAGAATGTTTTTAGAGCATAAACAGTAGTGTATAGGATTTCCTAAAAGCGCGCGCCTGCACGTTCACGACGCTACGGAAACCGCGGCAGACCAAACCAGATGAAAGTGCGCTTTCAGCGTCTGCTCTGCCGATAATGCAAGCGTAGAAGAAGAAATGTGCTGTTTACCTGTGCAAAGAAAGAAACAACGAAAGAAAAATGTCTGAGGACTTCAGTGTTGAGGAAGAGCATGAGTTCTTTGCCGAGCTGAATGCGCACTTTCATCTGGTTTGGTCTGCCGCGGTTTCCGTAGAGTCGTGAACGCGCTTTCAGGAAATCCTATACACTACTGTTTATGCTCTAAAAACATTCTAAATGACTTCGTTTCGAGTAAATTCTGGATGCTACCCACTCAGGACACTTGGAATACATTGGACGAGCAGTATGGAGGAATATTGACACGTTTTTTGTGGACTTTTATGGACCTTTCTGCCTCGGGAGCCATAGACCTCCATTATTTGAATGTCAGCAGACAGCAAGAAGCCTCCCAGATCTCCAGATGCATTTGATATATCAAAAAAGTACTCCAGAGTGTTGTTCAGCATGGGGGTGAGTAGAAAATGAAGGCTAATCATGTTTTGGGTGTACTATTCCTTTAAGTGTTGCAAGAACTTTTCATAAAGCTGTTTTTAAATGGATTCTATTTCTCACCAGCAGAGGGAGCTGTCTGTGCCTTTCAAAGTTCTTGTTTTTATGCCAGTTGTCTGGCTTCTGTTCCATCTTGCTCAGAACCAAAGCTGTTTTCAATTTTTCACTCTGTTTAGTTTTATTAGTTTTAAATTTTTAAAATCATTAGTTTAATTTAGTTTTTGAATGGGATATGCTGTTTTTATCTATATTATTTTAAACAATGGCTGCATTACATTTGACCCAAGCATTAGCTCAATCTGAGATATATTGACCTAAGATATTTTTAGGTTAATATTTAGCATTGCCCCTTTAACAAATATCTGCATAATTTTCTACAATTAGACAAAAAAATTGACTTACTCCCGTGAAAGGAAAAACACAGTTTTGCATAAAGACACAAGCTCATAATGGTAACTTAAAATCAATTGTTTATGGAGGTTTTTAGCAATGTTTTCACACTTTATTTTTTTACTCTTTTAGTTGTTTGTATTTTGGTTAATAAAGCAAATTTTCTTAGCTTCCAGTTTTCAGTTTTTTTAGCTATCTATAATAACTTTTGTTAAATTCATCTTAGCATCCAGTTATTGACTTTGCAGGATTCTTTTCTCTTGGATAAGCAGGCAGACACAGTAGAGATTTGCTTGCATTGTGATATTGACTCTACAGATATCGCTCACACCAAGCAAGCATGCAGCGAAAGTGGAGAGGAAAAACTTCCTTTCAACAGGAGGAAACCTCAAGCAGAACCAGAAACAGGCTCAGTGTGGGCAGCCCTCTGCTGAGACCAATGAGGATTGAAGGAGAGAGAAGCAGACATAGAAAAGGAACATTAAGGCACTGATCTATAAATACATTACATGTCACAAAAGGTGACAGTAAACTGGCTCTTTTTAGGAAATACACAGTTGAGCAGATGAGCCTTGTGTCCATTTTAAACTGAATGAAGAGAGCACATCCACAACAGAGTAGCTATGTCAAGGAGAGAAATAGGACTAAACACTGAAAAAAGGACTAAGTTGATCATCTATAAAAGTAGAACATAAAGAAATGAGTCAAGCAGGAAGAACTGACTCTTCTCAGAAACCTTTATAGTTTAAGGTTCATAATTTTTTAACCTTCTTTCCTGCTGCTTGACCTTCTACCTCACCCTGACCTCAAACACAAGCTGCACATAAACATAATATAAGATATTATCCTGTGCATCTGTGATCTGAGGAAGAACCCAGCTGGGTTTTCAGGACCCAGAGATTCCAGCAGCCTGTGTTCATGTATGGTCCTATCAGGATGTGATCCAGGTGTTCCTAAATGTTACCTCCTCTCCAGGGGTCCACCCTTTAGCAAAGTATCTGTCGGTTCTGGACGGGAAGTTTGGCAGCCTGTTCCTGGACGCAGGATGGAGGGAGCTGTTTGGACGAGCCGAGCCTCCACTGCTGGGTGAGTATTGGGTTCCTGTCACAAATTTCTCCCTGGATGAAACCTCAGATCTCAAGGTGGGATTGTCGTTTTCCTCCCAATAGATCCTCTGGGAGTGTCTGCTCGGGTGTGTGAGTATGTGGCAGGAGCTGCAGTATCCCACCTTTGTCCGATCTCAGAGGCCATGCTGACCTGCAAACACAGGAGGTACCATTGTTCAGAAAGACAGGCTGTATGACTGGATAGGCTGGCATTAGTGTCGGATAGCATTATGGCTTATAATCGCAGCTTTCAAAACAGGAAACGCCTAAAGGGCTATGCCAACTTTTCTCTTACCTTAGGTATCTTCAATCAGGGCTCGTACGGGTGCTGGAAATCCTTGAAAATGCTTGAATTTTGACGTTGTGTTTTCAAGGTTTGAAAAGTGCTTATATTTTGGATGAAATGCTTGAAAATGCTTGAAATTGTAACTATTTATGTCGCAAAACATACCTATCTAACTGAATCGTGTGTTTATTAAAAGAAATAAAATGTTGGAGAGCCCGAAAATGAAACCTGCTCGCTTATGTGCGACTGCGATCTGCCGGTCTATTTCCATGTGTGACTCCGCCCCCATGAAACCACTACTGCATCATGCTGGGAGGTTGTCGTTTCAATGAACGTTGGCTGGAAGATAAAAAAATACAAATTATGGATTAAACGGGGACAAACCCCACGAGTTTCTTCTTGTAAAGTCTGCAAAAAAGATGTGCAGCTTTTCACAAAGGGCGAGTCTGCGCTGTCGAGTCACATGAAGGGTGAGTCATAGACTTTTTAAGTAAGCCAACTGAAGTAGCCTAGTACACGTTAACGTTAGAGCCTATTTGTTTACGCTAGTAACTGCTAGCTAGGAATTCACAGGCTAAGTTACTGAGTGACTGAGAGTACGGTGTGATAATGTAATGTTAGTAGGGATGCACAAATTTGGGATTTTGGCCGATATCCGATATGCCGATATTTTAAAACTCATGTAGCCGATAACCGATATCGATACTGATGTTAAAGCTGGACAAAAATAAGTAGTCATTGAAAATAGCAGTTTTGTCATCCATTTTTGACACTTTAAAAAAAAATATACTCAAATATATTTTCATATGCTGATATCAAATTGATTTTTAAAAACGCAGTATCGATCTATTTTACTTACAAAATCTCGTGAAATTTCATCGTCCTCTTACAAACTCTCGTGATATTTTGCAAATTCTTGTGAGATTTTGTTAGTAAAATAGATCGATACCGCGTCAATATATCAACATATAAAAATATGGCAACATTTCGTGAATTTTTGGGGGATTTCGTAGCATAACGATGACATATAGCAATATTTCATTAGTAAAAGAGATTGATATGGTGTTTTTAAATGGCAATATATCAGCATATGAAGATATTGTGATATTTTCATGTATCAATATTTTTTCCCTCGTCTTTAGAAGTTTTTAAGTCTGTAAAAAAGAAGTTTTTGAGGAAGAAGAAGAAGTAGTATTTTTTTTTTTTTTTAGACTTTAGAAACTCAGAAGCTGATCAAATATCGGGTTAAATATCAGTGGGGTGGCCGATGTCGGATATTCATTTTTAAGGCCGATACAGGCCGATACCGATAGGGGGCCGATTAAATCGTGCATCCCTAAATGTTAGTATTGCAGTGTTATTGCAGTATTGCAGCACTATCTTGCGGGCCGTCTCGCCAAAGTCACGCTACCGCCTCGCCAACGTTCCAAAAAAACAAAACTAAAAAACCCCCAAAAAAACAAAGTTTTAATTCATTGCCAGGCCCAGACCTTAAAACAGCATTGATAACTCTACGGCTGATAATACTGAATTGCGACACCCTCTGGTTGGTTATATTACTACGCCATGGCAGAGGATTAATCCAACTGGTGGTGGTGTAAGGTAAGGAAAAAGTTTTGAAATGGATCTTGAAAGTGCTTGAAAAGTGCTTGATTTTGACTTTGGAAAAGGTGTACGAACCCTGTTCAATCTGCTCTAGTTTAGATACTACAGTACTCAATTTCATAAAACCTGGATAATGTTATTCTAGACTAATAGGAGAATATAATAAATCCAGTTTGAGATTAATTAAACCTTCTCAGTTACCAGCATTGGCTTCTCATGTGCTAGCACCGACCTCTCGGTACTGTTAGCTCTTTATCAATCAGATCAGTGGCTGACATTAGAAGGATGAAGACATTAGGATGAAGTCTCCAGTTCTTTAATCCAGAGACAAAGCAAAGAGGATAATTTTCAGAGAGATCCTCTGAAATGATAACTTTTTTCTCTGCAGCCCTGAAGACGACTCGTTTCAGAAGTTTGTTCCATTTATCGGGGTAAGACGCACTGCAGACAGGAAGTACCATCACAGCAGCTGCTTCCAGTGCTGACCTGCTCCTCCTGTCTGTCTGTCCTCAGGTGGTGAACGTTGGCCTCGTTGAACAGAACTTCTTGTCGACCTCAGGTACGTCTGAATCAACCGACCCCTCGCTCGACTGACGTGGACTCTGTTAACCCCCCCCCCCCCCAAAACCTGTCCACATACAGTGGACTCAGATGACTTCATACTGGGATCTCCTCCCTGCCAGTATGGGGTTGGACTCACCTCCACACCCCCACCGTCCCCCTCCATTAGGTACTTCCTGTCCACAATGTCCCTCTTTGGAGACATCTTACCTAAAATTATCCAATGAAATCTCCACTTCCTCTCTGATCAGCTCTTCAGCAGAGATGATGGGTCTGCAGGTGGACTACTGGACACATTCTGGAGGAGGAGGAGGAGGGGGTGCAGCTGAGTGGAGAAAGGAGGTGGGGATGAAGAACAGTCTGAAGAACAACTTCCGCTGCCTTCAGGTGTCCCGTCTGAGTGCAGGAGAACTGATGAGTATGACGGTGGTGATGAAGGAGAAGAATAAAAAAGGTGAGGAGGAGGAAGGTTAAGCCATCAGGATGCTTTTTAGTTCAACTTTGATTAACATTTGAATCATAGTGCTTTACTGCCCCCTAGTGGACACTTTTCATCACTGTTTGTCACAAAAAAATCTATGGTTATGATGAGTTGGTTCTTTGTATGTCAAAATAAGTCGTGGGTCATATACTCAACAGTGTATCACATTTTGTGTGTGTATTTTTATTAAACTTTCCTTATATAATCCAATATTAATGTCATAGTTAAGACAGTAATACCAGTAAATCACCAATTAAGTGTCAGCATTGTGATATAAACACATCAAATAAGATAAATGTTGTCAACTAAGATAAAAGAGATTGCATTTTGCAGGGTATCTTAATGAAATGTTATGATTAAATTGAATCATCTAACAAGTAGAAAAATATAATTGCAGTGAGAGAAACTGTGCTCAAGATGTTTATTTTCAAGCTTCACCTCTCTTCATTTTTTATGTATTCAGCTCCTGGTCTGGACTGTTTAGCATTTTTCTCCACTGGTCTGGATGATTCTCTGGACGCTGTACTGTTGAAGATGATTTAGAAATCATTAAATAAATGACTCCTTATGTTTGAAAGAAAGAAAGAACAAATTTTTTCAAATTTATTTACGGACCGATCAGACAGTGAAGGAAAACAGAACTGGATGAATAAAACTTCTCATCCCTTCCTCTGGAAACAATTCATTCACATCTTTGATTAAGTTTAGGAACAAGACGATAAACATAAATCCTTCAAAATGATCAAGACCATTTAGAAACTTTCCAACAGTAAATAATAAATAAAACTAGCAGCACTTGCTGAGGAAACCATTCAGCATGCATGGAGCGTGGGATAATCTTCAGCCTTCTAGCATCTCAGTCCTCCACTGCAGCAGAAACAAACATGTCTTAAAAGCAACACCACAATCTTTTGGAGAAATAATAAAATGTATAAGATGAAAGAAGACTGTTTGAGATTTGAATTGCTTAAATCTCCACTGTACTTATTCAGATTTCGCTTTGGAAAAAGAAAACTTCTATTCACGGAAGCTTTCTCCAGAATTTTGATGAGGCAAAGTCCTCAATAACATCTTCAAAAATCCAGAGATGTGGTAAATCAATTTCAAATTGCCAACAACAGAAAATACATTAGGTTTCTTTTCTGTTATTCTTGCTCTCCGATATGTTTTCACTCAATCTAAGGCCTCTGGCTCTGATAAGAGAAAGTTTAAAGCTGTCGATCGGCCCAGGACACACAAAGGGCAGAGGCTAGGGATGCACGATATAATCGGCCCCCTATCGGTATCGGCCTTAAAACTGAATATCGGACATCGGCCCCCCCACCGATATTTAACCTGATATTTGATCAGCTTCTGAGTTTCTAAAGTCTGAAAAAAAAAAAATACTACTTCTTCTTCTTCCTCAAAAACTTCTTTTTTACAGACTTAAAAACTTCTAAAGACGAGGGAAAAAATATTGATACATTAAAATATCACAATATCTTCATATGCTGATATATTGCCATTTAAAAACACCATATCAATCTCTTTTACTAATGAAATATTGCTATATGTCATCGTTATGCTACGAAATCCCCCGAAAATTCAAGAAATGTTGCCATATTGTTATATGTTGATATATTGACGCGGTATCGATCTATTTTACTAACAAAATCTCATAAGAATTTGCAAAATATCACGAGAGTTTGTAACAGAACGTCGAAATTTCACGAGATTTTGAAAGTAAAATAGATCGATACCGCGTTTTTAAAAATCAATTTGATATCAGCATATGAAAATATATTTGAGTATATTATTTTTCAAAGTGTCAGAAATGGATAACAAAACTGCTATTTTCAATGACTACTTATTTTTGTCCAGCCTTAACATCAGTATCGATATCGGTTACCGGCTACATGAGTTTTAAAATATCGGCATATTGGATATCGGCCAAAATCCCAATATCGTGCATCCCTAGCAGAGGCATCTTCTGTTTTGGTTTAGCCTAGTGCAGAGGTCTTCAACAGGGGGTCCACGACCCCTAGGGGGTCCACGGAGGTACTTCAAGGGGGTTGCAAAAGTTTTAGTTAATTAGACTTTTTTAATATTCCCCCCTTCAATTTTTTCCACTTATTGAAATGTCCTTAAATACACATTAACTTGAATTTAACACACTGTAGTAAACAGATAAATGGAGGCAGACGATGTTTTTCAGTCATCAATGCACACATTCAGAGACACACAGGAGCTCTTTCAAGCTGGGCACCGTTTCATTGTCCCATCAACCAGGAATCAGAATCAGAAATGCTTTAATAATCCCAGGGAGAAATTACTTTCGTTACATTACTCCGTCTGCAATAGAGTGACTGTAGGACCAGGTTTATATAACACAGTTTCATAAAAGATATATATTTAGGAGTTCCCCGCTTCATCTCACCATCAGTCTGGAAAACGTTGAAGACCCCTGGCCTAGTAAGTAGGATGACCCCTCCAAGATGGCGGCCGTATTTCATGAGCTGCAGCAACTAACTAATGCAGGGTCAACTCTATATCTATGCCTGCAGCTGCTCAGGCTAACGCATGAAGTTTCTGGCTATACATCAGAGACGTGTTCATTGTTCTTTTGTAATTATCTGTAATTGTCTCATTGGTTTATGAAAACTTAGCATTTTCCTTTTCAGTTAACCTTGCTGAATTATTTCAGCGTGCTTTAGCTCATTTTAACCACCTAATCTTACATGCTAGCTATTGTTGCTCATTCTAGTTGTCCTTCTCCACTTTACTTGTATCTGATACACATTTCTGTTTGTATTTAGGACAGTTTTATGAAAAATAATTCAATTGAAAAGGATTTTTTTTAATGCATCTGGAAAACCATGAAGGAATGAATAATTTCACCTTAAGGGCCAGCTAACTGTGTAACTTTGCAAAGTATTCCAAGAGGATGACGAAGCAGATAAAGATGATGATGATGATGATGATGATGATGGTGTTGTTGTGTATTAGTCATGTTCCTCAGCAAAAAGTCCAAGGAGAAGGAGGTGGAGTCGAGGAGTCAGGTGATCGACGGAATCAGCAGGTTGATCTGTACGTCCAAACACCAGCACACACTCAGAGGTACACACAAACACACAGCTTTGTTTTCATGACATATGGGGACATTTCATTGACTTGCATTCATTTTATATGGCCTAACCCAGACCCTTACCCTAACCTTACCTATTACCAAGTTGTACCCAATCCTAACCTAAACTGAATTCACACCTTAGTCCTAAACCTAACCCCAACTCAAAGAACAGAACTTTGCCATATAGGGACCAGTTGAATGTCCCCATATGTACCTGTAAGTCCTCGCATGTAGGATATTTTTCAAAACACTTCCGTCACATTGTAGGTAAAACAAGACCACACACAGGTGCTCTGTCTTACTATCTATGTTGGAACTTTCCATGAACTTCTATTCTTATTCCATTTCTTTCTATGGCACCCTGAGCCATAACTGACCCTAAACCTAAACTAAACTTAATTCCCACCTTAGTCCTAAACCCCAAGAAGAGAACTTCTTCTCAGTTGTTGGTCCCCATGATTGTGGAAACTGTGACCCTCCTACGGTTCCCATCCTCCACTTTAGAAACACCAACTCTAGAAGTCAATAAAAAGATTTTCACAGATTAGACATTAGCTAAAAAAAAAAGAAACGTTTCTGCCCTGTGCCAATTATCTGCTAAAAAAACCTCGCTTCGTCTTGACTTGGAGCGGCAGCGTGGTTAAGGTAGCGGCCTCCAGGAGGGGGGCCTTCTTCTCCAGCTGTTCATTTTCACAGCTCGGGGAGGGGCTGTTGCTCACACTGCAGAACTCATGAGGATCAATTAGAGAATACCACTTGTGTCTGATTTGGAAGAAGGAATTTGATTATAGCATAGCTAAAAACAAGTTGATTTTGCAGGATACAGGCCCTTAAAACTTTTACACTGCAAAAAATTTAAATCTACATAAGTCATTTTTTCTTTAAAAAAGTGAATTTTTTCTTAGATTGAGGAGGAAAGTGAGGCCTTTTGCTAATGGATCGAAACAATTCACATTTAAAATAAGGAAAAACAATTGCATGTCTTATTTCAAGTGCATATTACCTAATTATCTCATGAATTACCTACTCAAATTAAGGGTAAATACACAAGACATTTTTACTTATTTCTAGATCATTTTCCTAGTATACCAAAAATGGTCATCTGGCTGTCTCAGAATAAAAGTCTCTAGATTGGACCAAGAAGAGATACTCTAACATAAACTCTTTATTTGAGTCATTTTGAAAATTTGTAAAGATAGGATACTGTTTTCATTGGAAGTGACGTTCTTTGAGTTATCATAAATAAAACCTTGTTGAAAAAAAATGCTCTTTGTCTTCCTCCAGTGTCAGTTGATGGTGTCGAGTGGAACGACGTGAAGTTTTTCCAGCTGGCAGCTCAGTGGCCGACGCACGTCAAGCACTTTCCTGTCGGGATCTTCGGCTACAGCAAACTGTGAACTTCCTCCTTACCATGGTGACTTATAATGAGGCTCTGAGATGTTTTCACCACCCTGTTTCCTACTGTCTCAGCAGGATAGGAAATTGTGTTTGAGCCCAACTTTAATTTAAGAAGCAGTTCTGAGAAGCAGTGTTGGGGTAACCCAGTTGACCAGGCAGCATGTCCCATTTGATTTACTTAATCTGTGAAAACAACTGGAAATATTGGAAGTCCAAAAAAATGTAACCTGAAGGATGAATCTCTTGGTGGAAACTGTCTCTATGGTTTATATTTATTTTTTTATTCATCATTCAGAAGTGTGGAGTGAATTTGTTACTATTATTTCAAAGATGTTTCCTAAATGTAAATTGCAGTACCGAAATACATTTTTTCCCCCTTGTTTCTTAGATTTTTTATTTATTTTTTTTAACATATTTTATATTTTCAATTTTATTTTTTTTTAATAGTTTTTTCAGATCGATTTTTACAAATTGTATTCTTTAAATTATGTTTTCTCTTTACTTTAAGGCTAATACAACGCTCACTCTGGTCCAACAAAAAGTTGTTGTGTCCAGTAGACCAATAGAAATGCGTCTTTTATCGTCACTATAGAGGAAAGCCCGCCCCCTGAAGGGAAGAGGACACAATTTGAAAAGAATTGGTCAAACTTAATATAAAAAAAGAGTAATAAAAAAGTATTTGAAAAAATAAAAGCTGTAAAAGACTATTTTAAAGTATAGTTTTTGGTTTCACGTTTTTTAATTTCCATTTACAAAACTCTTTCTTTGCAACATTAATGGAACAAAATTAACTCCATACAGAAACAAAGTTTCATAGAGTTGGTGAAACGGTCGGATTTATTCGTAAAATGTAATTCTGTGTGTATATTCATTTCATGTTGGAAAAGATTTATATCTTAGAAATGTTTTCCTCTTCACGTATTTATTCTTTCATTTACATAATGAAAATAAATAAATAAAAACTACATCTTCTGGTCAGTTTCTTGAGTAAACTAAAAGTTTCTCTTTGGTCCCTGCATATGTTTTTTCACTTCGTACAGAAAAATATTCAGGACTGTAGGAGGGACAGCGCCAGAACTTTGACACCAAAACTGGACTATGATATTTTTTGCTCTTCTGAGGGACTCATGTTTAAATTAGAGCACAGCTTTCATACTAGAACTTACCAGTGCTGCGACATATCGTAAAGTAAGATGCAAAGAAAAACTCTCACAAGAAGAAAGTTTATGTGCAGGTTTCCTTTATAAATCTTAATTTGCATTAAATAAACTGTATCTGGTTGGACCGCCTCGTTCCTTCCTATATATGAATATACAAAGTATTATGAATACCCAGAACGCCCCACCATGTTTTTGTGTTTACATAATCTCAGCAATGGAAGTCAACGATGCAAAAACATGAGATCTATTGGTTGTGAAATACTACGGAGCCCCTCTGGTGACATGGGCAGAATTTTTTTTTTGAAGATGTTAAGGCGTGGCCACGACTTACTAACGCGTGGCCACGAGATAGATAAGTTGTGGCCAAAACTTAAAAAGTCGTGGCCACAACTTATCTATCTCCTGGCCACACCTTAGTAAGTTGTTGCCAAAACTTAAAAAGTCGTGGCCACAACTTATCTATCTCGTGGCCACGCCTTAGTAAGTTGTGGCCAAAACTTAAAAAGTCGTGGCCACAACTTATCTATCTCCTGGCCACACCTTAGTAAGTTGTGGCCAAAACTTAAAAAGTCGTGGCCACAACTTATCTATCTCCTGGCCACGCCTTAGTAAGTTGTGGCCAAAACTTAAAAAGTCGTGGCCACAACTTATCTATCTCCTGGCCACACCTTAGTAAGTTGTGGCCAAAACTTAAAAAGTCGTGGCCACAACTTATCTATCTCCTGGCCACACCTTAGTAAGTTGTTACCAAAACTTAAAAAGTCGTGGCCACAACTTATCTATCTCCTGGCCACGCCTTAGTAAGTTGTTGCCAAAACTTAAAAAGTCGTGGCCACAACTTATCCATCTGGTGGCCACGCGTTAGTTAGTCGTGGCCACCAGATAGATCTTTAAAAAAAAAAAACTTCAGCCCATGTCACCAGAGGGGGTCCGTAAAATACAGACAACAGAGCCAGTAACGAAATTAAAACTAATGCAAAGGCAGAAGGTGGTAAATGCCATACTCTAATTGTAGCAGGGCTCATAGCCAACATTTCCAAAACATGGTTTATGTGAATAAGAGAGTCACTGCACATTCAGGATTATGCTGTGTTCAAAATACACCTAATCCAGCAAATTTCTGCCTCATTAGTTAGCTGTTGCTCAATTTTACCATTCAATAAAATGAGGTTGCCAATATCCAAGAATTTGTGCGTGCTTCTCCTCTGAGCTTGTGGCTTATTTTTTTATACGCCTATAGTGTCTCTCTTGTGTATGGACCGTTTCATTCGCTCAACTTTTGTCATTTTGAGGGTGGAACTAACTGAGGCTTCGTTTGTGCCCTACCTCAGATATTCCCAGTTCAGAAATTCCAGGAGCTACGGCTGGATCATGGGAACAGGCAAAGTTAACTTTATTCAACTTTGACATCACTTTTCATTGACATAGGGGGTGCGGAGGGCACATGCTAAACCTCAATTATTACTTGGAAATCTCGTTCGAGGCCAGATTTGATGGTACATATAAGAGTATGGGACTCTTGTCTGCAAAAGATTACTTAGCTTGTATTAATCTGCCCCCTTTCTTAAAGGTGCCCTATCTCAGAAGTTAAAAGAAATGCACAAACAAACAGTTATAAGTGGCCTTTAAAAACCTCAGCTCAAGTTTCACCTGAATGCCCCTCATGAGAGATACAGATTATCAATCTGGCTGCCAGGTTTACGATAAAATGTCTGAATGCAGAGTTTTGGTTTCTTTCTATATTTGACCTCAAAGAAAACGAAAAAAATAAACTGATTTCAGAAATTGCGCATAAAGACCTGCATTGTGAACATAGACTCATTGGCAGATCAAGTGGAAACTAGGGAGTGCAATGCAGGAGACGTGGGATCTGAAGAACCCAGTTCTGCAGCTATTTCTCCATAGCAGCTGACGTTTACACAACAGTAGGCATCTGGATCAGAGGCATTGCATGGTTGCATCATATATTTGCACTTTATATTAATGACCTATTCAATTATATTTGCAACTTCTTATCCAAACTATAAAACATGTGAAAGAGTTTTGTGTGAATGTCCGTATCAGATCCAAACAGTGCTGTCAGCTGATGCATTGACTTCAATTAGAGGAGCTGTTTCAAGGTCCGGTGATGTGGACATCCACATCAAGCAGAAGCACACCCTAAAGGTGTGGGCAATATACCACACGCTAGCTCAAAACATTGAAAACAAGAGTTGACAAATAATCACTCACTGAATTTTAATATATTTAAAGAGAAAATGTACTGAACAACCAGTTTATGCTGACATCAACCAAACAACCACAGCACAGAATAAAACTAAGGGATCTCCGAGGACGTCGATATCTCCTGATGAACAAAAACTTAGTGCTGCCCAGGGTCCCCGTTGTGGCAGTTGCTTCAAAGTTCATGCATATTAAAACATTGTGCACAAATAAAGGTAGAGGGGTCGTCAGGCAAGGAGATTTACTGAAGACTGGGATTGGGGGAGGTCACCAGCCCTCTGCAGGCAAAAAAGAATCCAATGCAGCAAAAGGTCCAAGGTCCCTTCAGGGCAGCAGGTGAACCTCTGTTTTTTGCATGAGAAAAAAAAAAAACCCTGCTGAAGGTATTTGGACCTGGTAGAACTCTGAAGAAGCTAAAATAAATCACTTTAAGTACTCTCTGAAAGTAAACTATGAGGTCAAAAAGAGTCAGATCTGCATGAGTCCAACTGAGTGCTTTAAAATGGTTCTGCACAGAGCAGAACACCAAAAACTGGCTATTTAACAACACCCCTAAAAAATTCCAACACACCAGTAACCGCAGCTAAAAATGGGACCGAGCATTCCAAAAGAAGCTCAGAAATAAAATAACAGAACATCAAAGAAACCAGCAGAAATGACTCAAATCTCTTGGTTACAGCAATCTGACAAATCCTGCCTAGGGTTACGAGGCCAGAATCATCGGAATCTGTAGGAACCCATAATTCATCAGACTCTCTTACAAACCCTAGTAACCTTTCAAAAAACACACATAGGAACCTGTTAGAACCTGCAGGAATTGAATGGAACCAATAAGAATCCATCAGAACCTGAATTTCAGTTCGAAGCAGAACTTCTAGAAGCCCTTAACGTGGCAGTACGCTTCTAACGATGAGAAGACGATGTACATCAACCACAGGCTAAAGAACAGGGTAGTGGTGAGGATTTTAGGAATTCGTGGACCACCAAGCTCCCCTCCGATGGATGGTCGGCGCCGGTAAATCAGGACAGCAATGCATATGAAAGCAAAGATGGTGAAGAGAGTTACAGAGAAGGCCAGAGTTCCTGGGTCCACCTTAAACTCCTGCCCTTTGCTGTAGTGGTAGATGGCAGCAATGGACCACGCCACACCTATTCCAAGAAAGACGTTGACAGCATTGCTTCCAGTGACATTCCCAATGGAGGCGTCGGCGTATTGGTCCTGGATGGCGGCCAATTTACTGGCGAAGGTGTCTGATAAAAAGACAGAGGAAAAAAAATATGTTTCAGATTTGTTCTACCTGATTTTGTAGGTCAACAACAGTGAAAAGACTTCAAGTTTCTCTGGTTGTAAACATGAAGCTGACTTTGTCTCATGAATTATTAGAATCATGTGACAGCATGGGATTAATTTCTATGCTGATGATACTCAGCTATATATGTCCATAAATCTTGATTAAACTAACGACATGAATACCTGGATGACTCTTAACTTTCTGCTTCTGATGGAGACAAAACAGAAGTTACAGTCTTTGGACTGGTGTCTCTGAAAAAGAAGCTGATTAGTCAGTCACTTTATTTCGGTGGGACTAAATTGATCTCAGATAATAAAGTAAAAAATCTTGGTGTTATTTTTCCCATATCCCATATCAAAGAGGTTTCTAGAATGTCCTTTCATTTCCAGAATATTGCAGAATTAGAAATCTCCTGTCCAGGGGTGATACTGAGAAACTAGTCCATGCATTTGTTGCTTCAAGGCTGGACTATTGTAATTCTTTACTATCAGGAAGTCCACAAACTGTAGTTAAAAGCCTTCAGCTGACCCAAAATGCTGCAGCCAGAGTTCTGATGAAAAGTAAAAAGAGATAATTTCTCTCCTATCCTGGCTTCTCTTCATTGGCTTCCTGTTAAATCCAGAATAGAATTTCAAATTCCCTCGGATATAAAGCCCTAAATAACAAAGATCCATCTGATAACAGATATCTAATTGTTCCTTATGTTCCTAACAGAGCACTTTGCTCTCAATCTGCAGGTTTACTAGTGGTTCCTAGAATTTCTAAAAATAGAATGGGAGGCAGATCTTTTAGTTATCAGGCTCCTCTCCTGTGGAACCAACTACTAGTTTTAGTCCGTGAGGCAAACACCCCTGTTTACTTTTAAGGGTAAGCCTAAAACTTTCCTTTTTGATAAATCTTATAGTTAGATTGGCTCAGATTATCTTGAGCCATCTCTTTAGTTATGCTGCTATAGGTTTAGACGCATGGAGGACATAGGGACCCCTTTTCATCATTCTGTCTCATTCTATCTCATTCTACACTATCTTGCTTCATTCTATTGTCCCATTCTGCTGTATTTGTTAGTTCAATCTCCAACTGTCCCCTGTCTGCTTTTTCTCATAGTAACTCATCTGGTCTGTTCCTGTTTGGCTGTGACAACATCCCTAAGAGAAATATCAGCTGTGCGGCTGCCATCAACACCTTTGTTTATAGATGTTGGAGCTTGGCCTGTTTTCAATGTAGTCCTGTTTCTCTTACTGTGACTAATAACTGTATATATACACTTTCATCCTGGGAGCTGGCTTGAAGCTCATCTCCCTGGCTGTGTGTTTCCAGGACTGGGCCACCTGAGGAGCTAGTTAACAGTTACCTTTTGTTTCTCTGCTTTTTTTATATGTCTGCTTCTGTCTCCTTTAACCCCAGTCGGCCTCAACAGCTGGCTGCTGACACTGAGCCTGGTTCTGCCGGAGGTTTCTTCCTGTTAAAATAGAGTTTTCCTCTCCACTGTCACTACAAACATGCCTGGTATGAGGGAATGCCTTCGAGTTAATGAGTCGATGCAATCAACTGGTTTTCCTTAAAAAACTTTGAATCTATCTGACTTTATGATTTGGTTGAATCTTCTCTGTAAAGTGTGTTGATATGACACGTGTTGTGAATTGGTGCAATATGAATAAAATGAATAGAAACGGGCTTTTTCTGCCAGTACAAAGGGACTCAAAACCTCTCTTTTTTGTATTGGCTTAAAATCTTTTAGTAATGAACGTTAGTCTATGCCACACCTGGTACTGAAGTCCCCAAAGCAACAAAGACCACCGCAGTAACTGAGTCTTTGAGGCCGACCGTGCAGCCAAAATGTGAGGCCAGGTCTCCGATTATGGCGGTCAGCATGCCGATGACGATAATGGAGACGACGAAGCATGCCCAGCCGTTCCAGTAGTCCGTCGGAGGAACAAAGGCAAATAGAAGCTTCCAGAAGACTGTCAGGAAGTGCATGACGTAATCGAAACAGGAGGGCATTTTTTCTTCACCACCTTCATCATCATCATCACCTGAGGAAGGAGAAAGCCCTCAGCGTTGATTCATGAGGAAAACTCAGTGAAAATGGGTTTCTTTTCAGGCAAAGTTTTTACCTGCACTGACAGTGATGGCCTCCACAAACTGCTCCCTCCAGGTGTTCGTCCCAATGACCAGAGCCAGATTGGTCTTCTTGATGAGTTTATCCACCGTGCTCTGAAACCCAGGGCATCACAGTAAACCACATAAATCATTTAACATTCAATCCACCATTTTGCCATTCCACTTAAAGGAAAAGTCCGGTCATATTCAGAATTGAAACTTCTGAAAGTACTTTATGTCAGGGTTAGTTGCGGTATGAGGACCCAAACGCAGAGGCAGAGAGGCTGAGGGGATTTCTTGTGGATTTAATCAAAAGGGTAAACAAAGGCAGGAATGCAAAAATCCAACTAATAATGAAAAGCAAACCAGAACTATGGAGACATCTGGGGAAACCAAACACGGGGAGCCAGGGAGAGACGAGGAACATGGACAACAGCATGGGAGGACAGCAAAGACAAGAAACCAACGAAGAGTGAGAGCAGAGGGAGAGCATGGCTCTGTTCGAAAACCTAGGACGCATCCTTAGAAGACCGGATTCGAAGGCCGATTACGTCATAGCGCGGCGCCGAGGTCTGGTCGGATTCCAAGAGTCCTCGTTATGCGGCCTTAAAATGCGTCCTTCTTTTTGCCCGATTTGAAGGACGGGTCTGATGTATCCTCGGTATTCTTGGATATCCCAGGATTCATTGCGAGACCAAGCAAGCTGTGATCAGAGGAAAGGTTACTTGGCGCCGAACAGTGGTGAAAATTGGAAGTTCAGTTTAATATAATACAAGTCAGTGAATAGTTCCGTCTGAAATGAATGAAAATAGTTGTTTTAATGGTTACTGAGTCATATATGTGGCGATAATGTTTGGTTTATCTAAAGGTTTTAAGCTGTTACTGTGTAAATGGGTTTGGCTTTAATTTAAGGACAGATTCTAATATATTTGCAGGGTGGGGACTATAAATCTGATAGGATTTTTATCTTTTTATTGCTATTTTGCACAATATGCTTAACTTTGTATTTTTTGTTGTTGAATATTAGAGATTTTGCAGATATATTTTTTGTAAATATATTGTTTAGATTTACTTATATCTTTCTACCCCTTTTATAGAATAGAAAATCCCTTTATTTTCCCACAATGGGAAAATTTACAGCAGCAGAAAGATTATTGAAAATGGTCACACAAATGTGGACCTTAGAAAAATGTATAAGAATAACATGATAGGGAAGAGTTAAAATATAAACAATAAAATACGGTAAAGTGTTTTAACAATATAAAACTGGGGAATAAATAACCAATATGCAGCTATGGACATTTTTACAGTAATGGATATTTGAAAATAGCAGCAGCATCAGAGATGTGCAGAATGACAGCAGCAGGTTATTTAACTGACTAAGGTTTCTATCATTACATTTGATTTTATTTCTTCCTGCTCCCGGCTGTTGGAACATTTATTCCACTCTGGATTCTTGTGAGTGTAGTCTTTGTTCACTTCACAATAAAAAAGAAATAAATAAACAGTTTTGAAAACTTCTGTATTCATTCTTTTCCTGCTTTGTGTGTCAACATTCACGGTTGCTAAGCAACAGAGCATACGGCGGTAAAACCCGCCAAAGGGTTGACCTGGTCGAATTTACAGCCAAAACTCTTCCGGTCTCCTTATTTTCAAGGACTTCGAAGGATCCAGTCTAGGTAGACCGCGTCCTTGGAGGACCCGTCCTAGGTTTTCGAACAGAGCCAAAATATAGCAGACAGAGACAAAGGGAGGGCTAACGAGCTGACAAGGAGCAGGTGTGAAAGGAGACAACGAGGGAGCCAAGGGGAAAGGAACACACATACACAAGAGGGCAACAGAGGACAACAGAAAAAAAAGAGAACTAACATAAATCTAGAAATTACAACAAAACTGGAATTAAACCAATAAATCTAGAAAACAAGGAGCAAAGTAAAGAACAACAGAACCAAGACCATGACACTTTAAATATGAAGTTATTACATACTTTTCAATAAATATAGGTGTTTTAAATTAAGAGTAATTTCATTTGAATGTGCTTTACCGGAGGCATGTTCATCAAAGAACAATTCTGCCACCAACCGGTTTGTGACATCATGGTGTGGTATTGGTGTTTAACAGATACAGTGGTGTATCTGGTGTGTGTCTCAACGCGCTATTATCCAAGACATCTTAAACATTCTTCTTTGAAATGATGGCTTACATATTATGTGTTTTTTCTCTGGCCAGAAGAGTTGGCAATCCGACGAAAAACCCGTCTGTGGAGGATCATGAATCGGAAAGGTGAAAAAACAAATTTTTTTTTTTCACTTTTACTCAATGTATTACAACATCCAACTGCCATGCACCTGGGCATTGTCTACAGTGTAACTATAGCTCTGGTGAATTTCAATGGTGAATTTCTCTGGAAATCTAAAATTATTGGTGATTGCAGATGGGTCTAGTAGTTCCCATTGATTTTGCTTGTTAAGCGGGGAGAACGGCCTTGAGCTTACCGCACCATGACATCATATGTCAGGAGTGAGGTGTTACTATATTTGGGCAAAAATAGCCGTTCCCTGATTCAGTGATTACAACAATAATTATTGTTTTTATTTTTTTACTGATTAATTCTACATTTATTAAATCACTGCAAATGCATTAGTTTTAGGTAGAAATATTGATCCATTGAGTTTCCCTTGCTGACCGGACTTTACCTTTAAATCAACTATTACTCTAAAACAGACAGAATATGGTTGGATGTAAGCATGGTTGGACTGTATCACCGGTTGGGCTCCATTTTCTGTAAATGAAAAGCTCCAACCTTCAGTTAAACTCTCACAATAACATTTGTGAGGAAAGTAAATTTAGTCAATAAATGTGTACAAATGTAAGACTGTATTTGTTTCTTGTTGTCAAATCTTAAAAACATGTTACAACTTTGTTTTTTTTTCTTCCTGTGACAAGGTTTAAATTTGTATTCAGAGTCAGTAGTTAAAGGAATAGTACACCCAAAACATGATTAGCCTTCATTTTCTATTCACCCCCATGCTGAACAACACTCTGGAGTACTTTTTTGATATCTCAAATGCATCTGGAGATCTGGGAGGCTTCTTGCTGTCTGCTGACATTCAAATAATGGAGGTCTATGGTGCCCGAGGCAGAAAGGTCCATAAAAGTCCACAAAAAACGTGTCAATATTCCTCCATACTGCTCGTCCAATGTATTCCAAGTGTCTTGAGTGGGTAGCGTCCATAATTTACTCGAAAAAAAGTCATTTAGAATGTTTTTAGAGCATAAACAGTAGTGCATAAGATTTCCTGAAAGCGCGCGCGTGCACGTTCACGACGCTACGGAAGCCGGCAGACCAAACCAGATGAAAGTGCGCATTCAGCGTCTGCTCTGCCCAAGGGCGTAGGAATATGTTTACAATTGGGGGGGACACATGTCGGAAATCTGAGATTCGTAAATATTCAACAGAAACATATCTTAAGTACGCTACTTAAAAAAAAGGCTATTTAATCTTTTACTTTATTCCTTTATAAATGTGTTTGCAAAAATAATGCATTTAAAATTAACATAATGCATTTGTTCATAAGATGTGAGCATATCACCAAACAAAATGACTGGAGTCTTTTATTAAGCAAAGGGAGATGTCTTTCAAGGGCTTCAGCCCTTGGCATATTTAGTGTCCGCATACGCACTAGAAAATCAAAACAATTCAGTAGGCCACACAAGTGCAAAGTTTGATATGTTTTATTTTGTCAAACTTGCAATAATGGTCAAAAATGAATTTATATAGGTTGACTGACAGAGGGAGCTGACAGTGTGTTGAAGAATTATGGACAGGGCGCTTTGAAGCATCTGGTTCAAAAACGCATTCTAAACCTTTGGTAGAAATCCATCTATCCTTCCATTTTCTGTACACCCTGTCCCTTAGTGGGGTCAGGAGGTGCTGGTGCGGGGTCCACCCTAGACAGGTGGCCAGTCTGTCCAGACCTTTGGTAGAAATGGCGCCTTTAATTCCAGTTTGCAGTACAGAACAGAGAAAACTACAGAGTTGTCAATGTTGTGTTAATCTGTTTATAGTCTAAAAAGAGGAGCCAGCAGTTTGAGGAAATAAAGGTGCAGAAGTTAATTAGTTGGTTAATTAGTGGTTGCACAACCAATGCGACCGCCGCTGCTAAGAATTAAAAGTAATTCTCCCTGTGGTTAACTAACGATCAGGAGCGCGGCAGGTATAACATCTGTCCATTTCGGCGAATCAAAACCATGCAAAAAATAAAAAATCCTCGTAAAACGCACACCCAGACCAGGCTAATTTCAACACAAGTTGTGTTAGGTGACTGTTACTCTCACTGACGTTTCTCTTTAAAAAAAAATCTGAGTAAGTCCTACTGCTGTTTCAGCCTTTTAGTTGGTGGTGGCATTGTACTGAAATGAGATATAAAAAAATATATATAAAAAAAACATTTTGGCTAGCGTGGCAAACGTCTAGAGAAAGTTAGCAGTTAAATATTGGATGAGTGATCAGACCAAGACTACGGAAGAGGATTAGGGCCACTGGAAAAAAAAAAAAGTTAAGTGATTTTTACATTTTATTTCAGTTTAATACGGGAAAAAAGTCAGAATTCTGACTTTTATTTTCAGAATTAAGACTTTTTTTCTCAGAATTTTGGATCTTAATGTAGATGGGCACCATGAAGGCAGAGATGTGGAGCACTCAGCTTCACTGACAAAAATGTGAGTTATTTGAGAGAGCCAGTGACACATTGGTGGAAAATGACAGAATTAGGCAACTTTTTACGTGCCCGAGGGGCCCCCTCATTAATGGCGGAGCAGAAGGTCATTAAAACAAGAGAGCTAGTCTCTAAAAGAGACATGGCTATGGCTTGATGCTAACATGTTTGTTGTTAAACATACTTTTGTTATATTACATTTGTGTTGTGTTTTCCAAATAGTGTAGAAAATGAATGGTGGGTTTATAATGTTTACCTTTTATGAGCAGGACAGGAAGCAGAGAAGTGTAGCATTACCTCCAACTAGTTAAACTCATAAATATGAAGTTATTCAACAAATTCCTCAAGTAAAAAAGGGCAACTTTTTTATTTATTTATTTATTTATTTTTTACCAGATTTGTGGATTAATTTCAAAATTATGTATTCCTTCCAAATTTCCAAATCTGAAGAATTTTTTAAACCAATATCTACATTATTTAACATTTAGTTTATGTTTTAGCAGTACTTCCTGTTATATTTCTTTATACGTATATTTTACATTTTCTTGCACAGCAAGCTCAGCAGATTTGAAATTGTGTGCTTGTGTAAACACAAGTAGTCAATCTTTACTCTAAACATATATTCTGGTTATTTTTTAGGTAGACCTTCTTGTTTTTATATATCTGTATAGTCCCCCCCTCCCCCCACCAAAAAAAACTGTAAACTGATTAGAAATATTAATCATATGTCAGATTTCTGAGAAAAAAGTCAGAATTCTGAGATTAAAGTCAGAAATCTGGGAAAAAAAGTCAGAAAAAAAAGTCAGAATTCTGAGATTAAAGTCAGAATTCTGAGAAAAGTCAGAATTCTGACTTTTCCCCCAATGTTAAACTAAAAAAACATTTAAAAATCAGTTAACGTTTTTCAGTGGCCCTAATCCTCTTCCTACAAGACTAAGATGCCTAAACCAAAAAGATTCAGTTTCTATATATGAAAGTGAACTGACAACAAGACGTTATAAATAAGCAATATTCATAGCAGCATTCCCGACAGACCATTTTACCTCATTAACAAGTTTCTGACTTTCTGTATCGCTGTTTCCCTCTGAGAGCTCAAACACTCAACAGTTCACAGAGGGGAGGGGGAGTACAGTGACGTAACGCTATGCTGCGCCTTCAAAATAAAAGCACGATAGTTAAAAAATTGTCAAAATCTAATATTTTGCGGTACAATTTTTGGGGGGGACATATCCACCTGGCTTTTATATTGGGGGGGACATGTCCCCCCCGCTTCCTACGCCGCTGGCTCTGCCGATAATGCAAGCGTAGAAGAAGAAATGTGCTGTTTACCTGTGCAAAGAAAGAAACAACGAAAGAAAAATGTCTGAGGACTTCAGTGTTGAGGAAGAGCATGAGTTCTTTGCCGAGCTGAATGCGCACTTTCATCTGGTTTGGTCTGCCGCAGTTTCCGTAGCGTCGTGAGTTTGCAGGAGCGCGCTTTCATGAAATCCTATACACTACTGTTTATGCTCTAAAAACATTCTAAATGACTTCGTTTCATGTAAATTATGGACGCTACCCACTCAGGACACTTGGAATACTAATCATGTTTTGGGTGTACTATTCATTTACCTTTACACCAGAGGTCACACAAATCACTTGCATCTTAGGGTCCCTCCTATTCACTATCTCAATGCTCCCCCTAACTCAGATCTTAATGAACAGTTACCATGATGATGCAGGCGACACCCTGTCACCAGGTGACTATGAACCCATTCCAGCTCTGGGTAAATGCAGAGAAGAAGCAATGCATGGATGAACAAAATGTTCATCAGGCTCTAAATCTAGGTGTAATGATGGACTCAGACCTGAACCTTCAGAGGCTCATAAAGACGGGGACAAAGACGGCTTTCTATCACCTAAAGAAGACCTAAGAATCTCCAGGATTAAAGGACTAATGTAAGTGGAATTGATTACTGCAACGGTGTTTTCACAGGTCTGCCTAAAAAGTGCAGCTGATCCAGAACGCTGCTGCCCGTGTCCTCACTAAGACTAAGAAAGTAGAGCACATCACCCCAGTTCTAAAGTCCTTACACTGGCTCCCTGTATCTCGGAGAATAGACTTTAAAATTCTTCTGTTAGTCTATAAATCTCTCAATGGCTTAGCAACTAAATACAGACTTGCTATCAGTGCATCAACCCTCCAGACCACTCAGGTCTTCTGGCTCCAGCCTGCTCTGCATTCCTTAGAACTAGAACTAAACATGGAGAAGCAGCATTTAGTTCCTATGCTCCACTTATCTAGAACAAACTTCCAGAAAACTGTAAAAGTGCAGAAAGCCTGAGTTCCTTTAAATCAAGACTAAAAACACATTTGTCTAGGATCGCCTTCGACTGTTCTAGTTAAACAGTTCAACTAAATCATCATTAGTTCAACTTTTTTATTTTCTTTAGCCCAACTGTTTTTGATATTCTTTTTTGTTTCTGGATTTTTTTTATTTTATTTTATTTATTTATTTATTTATTTCCTACTTTCTTTTATTCTGTTTTATTTTCCTGTATTTTAATCATGTAAAGCACTTTGCATTGTCTTTGTACCGAATTGTGCTATACAAATAAATTTGCCTTGCCTTGCCTTGCCTAATGTCTTAGCAGGACCATGAAAAACTTATTACCACAAGAATGTCTCTTTCTCTTTTTCTTTTTCTACAGCACTTTGCAACTGAAATATGGTGTAAAAATCCATATGTAACATTTATTGATTTACATTTAGAATTTCAGACACATAGGTGTACTTCCAACCTTGAACTCATATGATTCCTCAATGATAACTTCAAGACGGACGTGTTCGCCCAACATTGGTCGTCCCATCTCCGCAATCCGCCTCTCTTCTTCCTCCTTCTTTGTCAAAGCCTCCTCACACACTCCATCTGAAACACATTGGAAGGATGGATGGATGGATGGATTGAAGGAGGGATGGATGGATGGATTGAAGGAGGGATGGATGGATGGATTGAAGGAGGGATGGATGGATGGATTGAAGGAGGGATGGATGGATGGATGAGGACAAACCTGTGATGCTGATGATATTGGAGGGGGCGCGACGGTCTCGGCCCTGGACTTTCCTGTAGATGTCTTTACCTGAACAGGTGAACAGAAACCGAATCAACTGAATCAAAAGTTTTCCTTTTATCAGACGTAACTAGAACCAAGGAGGATTCCAGCTCCACCCAACATCTGTATGCACATGAGAGAAAAACCTCATTCTGAAATGTAACCTTTGGTGGATGTGAGTCGACCCGTTTTAATGAGGTGAAGCTGAAAACCAGCATGATGCAGGAGTTACAGTCTCAGCCAGTTAAACATAAACCTCTGATGGTGAACAGAGCATGCTCAGTGTGTCATCACTTCCTCTAATAAGTCCCTGTTCTGACTAAAGGCATGCAGTCAGAATGTGATTAACGTCGACTCCTGACCCGCTGAGGCCATTGTGAGCTGGGAGATACGTTCTGCTGTGACAACATGTAAAAACTACCGTGACTCCAGTAAGAAAATGAAAGCTTAAAGTGAGTGAGGGAAGGGAATGAGAGCTTCTACGGTGTGTCACCAGAACCTTCACCACAGGAGTACTTGGAGAAAGCTGGTTTTGCTGCTAAAATTAATAATTTGATGAAATTCTAATTCAGAAAGATAAAAGGCTTGTAGAGGGAAGGTTAACCAGCAAAAAACCAACTGGTGGTAAAGTTGAAGTTTGATGTTCAACCAGCCAACCCCAATGAGATCTCCAGGAGAAACTTTTCTAGTAGATTATTTAATCTATGTCTTCCACATCACTACACGGATAAACAGGTTTTCAAAATCTTCACATCAGTATTATGTCTCCAGTGGAACATAATAACAATCAAAGGCTCCCATTTAACAAACCGGTGGTTCTATGGCAGTTTTCTTTAATTCTAGTCCTCAAGGTCCTTCGTCCTGAAGCTTTTAGATACGTCTCTGACTCCACACCTGAATCAAATGGCTAAATTACCTCTTGAATATTTGATAGGTGGTTTGAAACAGAGGCGTGTCTAAAAGTCATAGGGCACACCTGTATTGGAGTACTTTCTTGTAGAGGCTATCCCTATATATTTGTCAACAGTTTTTTAGATTTATTGTTTGGCCTGATAGCATTTAAAACAGCAACATCTCAACCAAACCAAACGTCATAGAGGAGTTCATCATAGGTTTTAATTGGGTTTACACTGATGAGACCAAAGAGGGGATGTTTTAGGAAGATGGAAAGACGCATGTCGGAGGAAAGCATATTCAGTAGATCAGCATCAACATCTTTTGAGGCTCTATAGCATGGGTGCTCAAGTCCAGTCCTAAAGAGCTACCGTCCTGTAACTTTTAGATGCATCTCTTCTCTAAGGCCCAGTCCCCACGAAGTCAAACCCTGGCATAAATTCACAAATTTTTCACCAAACCAGCCTCTCATCCATACGAAGCCGGTGTTTCGGGGTCTGTAAACGATCTTATTTTTATTAAGCCGTCAGAGTGGGAAGATTTTGAAACGCCGTTTTCGCGTTTCCATCTTTAAGGTCTGACCGCATTTTGTTTTACATGCATGCGTCATAGCGTCGCCTCTAAACAAGCATGCGCGACACAGTATCACAACAACAATGGCGCTGTACTGTGTTGAATGGTTGCTGCTCATGCTACTCCCCCTGCTGTCGGGCTTACAACAGAATCTTCTTCTTCTGGAATATCTCCAGGAAGAACAGAGCAATATCGACGACATAGTTCAGCACCTGAATTTGACTGAACCACGAAAATGGACCCGCAGGGCCATTTTCCGGTTTGGTTGTTGTATAAATATTACTGCGCATGCCCAACATTTCGTTGCCTGTTTTCGCCTATTTTTGCTTTGGCACCACAGCGCCACTTACAGGCCTGGCATACATGCAGCGTTTTCATGCATTCATGTGGTCAATCACATTTATTTTACGTCTCCGTCTTTAAGACAAACATTCTGGAAAATATTAGCGCTTCGTGTTCCTTTTGACTTCGTGTGGACGGGGCCTAACACACCTGAATCGACAGGCTAAATCCCCTCATGTAGCCAAGCAGAGGCATGGTAACGAGCCACTCATTTGATTCAGGAGTGATAAAAATGGGGTGCATTAAAGAGTTGCAGGATAGTAGCTCTTGAGGACTGGACTTGAGAGCCCCTGCTCTACGGTCTGCTGAATGGGGCTCTCAGAGTGCTGAAGGGGGGGTCCATAGGGTGCTGATAAGGTTCTAAAGGCTGTTGAATAGGGTTCTATAGGTTGCTGAGGAAGGTTCTATTTTCTTCAGGCAATTAAGGCCCCGTCCACACGAAGCCGAACCCTGGCCTAAACGCACAAATTTTTCACCAAACCAGCCTCTCATCCACACGAAGCCGGAGTTTCGGGGGTCTGTAAACAATCTTTTTTTTATTCAGCCTTCAGAGTGGGAAGATTCTGAAACGCCGTTTTCGCGTTTCCATCTTTAAGCTCTAACCGCAGTTTTTTTTTTTACACGCATGCGTCCTAGCGTTGCCTCTAAACACGCATGCGCGACACAGTATCACAACAACAATGGCGCCGTACTGTGTTGAATGGTTGCTGCTCATGCTACTCACCCTGCTGTCGGGCTTACAACAGATCTTCTTCTTCTGGAATATCTCCAGGAAGAACAGAGCAATATCGACGACATAGTTCAGCACTTGAATTTGACTTAACCACGAAAATGGACCCGCAGGGCAACCATGTATAAATATTAGTGCTCATGCCCAACATTTCGTCACTTATTTTTGCTTTGGCACCACAGCGCCACTTACAGGCCTAGCATACATTTTGCAGCGTTTTCATGCATTCGTGTGGACGATCACATTTATTTTACGTCTCCGTCTTTACGACAAACGTTTTGGAAAATATCAGCGTTTCGTGTTCGTTTTGACTTTGTGTGGACGGGGCCTAAATTGAGGACGGACTTAATCTTTCTTCTGTATATTGACTCTCAGGAAACAGAAATTAAAGATGTTCTGATTATTGTCCCAAAGTCAGTCCTCAAGGGCTGCTGTCCTGCAGGTTTTAGAGGTTTACCTGCTCCAGCACAGCTGATTTACGTTGATAGTTGATTAACAGGCTTTTGCTGAACTGCAATCATCAGAATAAGCTGTGCTAAAGCAGGGAAACCTCTAAAACCTGCAGGACAGCGGCCCTTGGGGATGCTTGTCCTCTTTCGTTTTGCTGATTTGAATGCGGATGCAGAGCTCAGACTTATTGGCTGTTTGGAATCTGTCGATGAAGAAGAGGCTGAACTGTGTGTTTACTATGCTCATCTTTATCTCCATGTTGGACTTTCTAAAGGTTTCTTGTGACCCTCCTCACCCCAATCTGTGTTTGGGTCTGTTGAGTGACAAATGAGAGCCTCAGTAGAAGTTTCAGTGATGTGTTGAAAACCATCAAAACCAAACACTTTGTCACTTCAAGTGTTAAAACACTTTCTAAGCAAACATGTCCACCGCTGGACGGTGTCTTACCACACAGCTGTTTGTCTGATAAAAAAGTTAGATAGCATCAGTTAATGATGATCCACCAGTTACTGATACCTTGTACCAGGACTGAATGATTGGATCCCCTACCTGTCTGTACGAAGCCACCTGTAAGGTCAGAAAACAACAACATACAGTCAAATGCAGTGAGGTGTGTGTTTCAATATAAAAAAGTTTGCAGAGGACAGGACAGCAGAGGACACTGAAGTCTTCTTACCGACTTCCTGAAGCAACACAGCTGAAGAGAGAAAACAGACGAGAGAAAAACGTGAAGCAGAGCAACAAAGAACCATGAAGCTGCAGAACCAGAGGAGCCCAGAACTTATAGATTATCTCAATTGGAATATTTATTGTTTTACTTAAGCTTGAGGATACGTCCTCAGCCTGGTCCAACACAGCATGCTTCTGAACACCCAGAACATTAATGATGTTAGTTTGTGTTTAGATTACTGGATTTGGACAAAATAGAATTAAAACTGAGTGAGAGAATTTGGTCCATCAGCCAATCACAGCTGAGCCCCTGACAGTCCTGACCAATAGAAGGAGGGCAGCAGAGTGATAGCAGCTGGAAGGAGAGGTGAGAGGGGTTTAGGTAGGACTCACACCTGTCCATCTCCTGCTGTCCCAGCAGGGCTCCTGCAGCTCCACGTAGAAGCTGGCCTTCTTATCATACTCCTCATGGTCGATTATTCTAACAGATATGGTCTTCCTGCAGGAGGTGGGGGAGGTCAGGGGTCATGCATTAGTTCACAGACACACTAAAACACTGATGGAGACAGACTACTAAAAAAACTGACAGTGCTCCATCTACACGAGGAGGAGGACATCTCACTTGACCTGCATGTGGAAGGATGGACATGCAACGGAGCAGTGCTCCTCAACACTGGCCCTTAGGAAATAAAGTCCTGCATGTTTTACGTCGATCCTTGCTGCTGCACACCTGACCTTCATGAATGAACGATTGACTGCTTCTGCAGCTGTTTGGATCAGATATGCTGGAGCAGAGACACATCTCAAACATGAGGGACAGCGGGGTCCACAAGGACCAGGGTGGAGGACAACTGCAAACCTGAATGGAAGGACTGAGTTTCTCCCTGCAAGGCCTGGAGTTGAGTCAGTATTAAACAAGGTTACAGGTTAAAGTGGGCGGGTTCAGGCCACAGGGTGGGCCACTGCCCCCACCTTTCCGTTCACTCATCTCCAGCAGCTGAGGCTCTCCGATCTCTAGGAAGAAGTTCTTGTTTTTTTCATACTCTTCATCGTCAACAATGTTGATCTGAATCGTTTTTCTGAAACAGAAGAAAGCAGAAGGAGACATTGCAGAGAGAGAGGAGCGCAGAGGCATGAAGAACGGGGGAAAGAAGGTGTACTCCAACAGGTGGGGGAAAGACAGTAAAGAGTCATGCAGAATTAGAGGGGAAAAGGAAATTCAGTTTCAAAGGAAGCAGAGACTCATGTAGGATATCAGTGAGAAAGGACGTAGATCCTCCATAAGGTAAGGGCTTTAATAGTCCTGGACAGTGCAATGATCAGGTTCTAAGGAAACACTGGGGAACGTAACAGCAGTTTCAACACCTTCATCCATTACATGCAGTGTGCGAAAGCTGTGAGTGAAATTAAGTACATTCCGACTATGTCCAGAGGATTTGGAAAGGCAGCAATCAGCCAGGAACTGCTTATCAGAAATCCATCCATCACAGCAGAAGTCCTGTCAGTGATAAATTACATCATACAAGCTGCTGAATGATGTTCTATAGGCTGGTGTCAGGCACAGTGTTTTGGAGCTAACACCTGCTGATTTGTGGCGTGTACTTTATTTTTCACAAGCAGCTGCTCCAGTTCCGCTGTAGAAACAGTTTATAAGCTTCTTCTCTCTTTTAAAGGAGATGAAGGTTTGGTTTAAACCATTTCAGATGCTGGATGGATCAGTTTATTGAACAACACGTGAAACTCACACTTTCTTTTTACCTTTAGTTCATGGCTGTTTTGCAAAAATTGTGCTTCCTATTTATTTTTTTTAAACCTTTTGAATATCTGATTTCTTGAGTCCCAGTTACTCTGAATTTCTGATCAAGTCTTATCAGTTCAGTGTATTCTCATTATGAGTTCGTATGAAATCGTACGAAAAGTTAGGCACCGTAATTTTGTACGTTTTAGACGTTTTTTTCGTCTTATTTCGGCGTATTTTTACGTCTTGCATCGAGACAAGATATCCTTGCGCATGCGCATCTTACGCACCATTCAATAACATAGAATTTAACATACAATTAACACTAACCCTGACCCTAACCCTAAGATACAAGACATCAAGAAACGTATTTAGAGACATGAAGAAGTAATTATTGCACTGTTTTTCCCAGTTTTCCGTCTGTCCGCGGATCTGCTTTTTTCATCTGTCTGCCTGCGCATGCGCAGTAATCTGTTTTTTCGAGGAAAAACGTCCAAAACGTACGAAATACTGTGCATAACTTTTCGTACGATTTCATACGAACTGTTAATGCGAATATGTTGATCAGTTTTGTTCTTTTCAAATCCTGTCAGAGTTCTGCATAAGAACAGTCTGACCGCACTTAACAAAACCTTGATGTGGGAAACAGAAAGGCTGAGACTTTATCTACACTGGAGAAAATGGAAATCTAGATAAGTAATTTTTTCTTTAAATAAGTGCATTTGTTCTTGAATTGAGGAGGTAAAAGAGACATTTTGCCAATGGAACAAGACAATTTACATTTGAAATAAGAAAACACAATTGCATTATCTTATTTCAAGTGCATTTTTATCCAATTATCTTATCTTAAGAGTAGAAATACTCATTCCACTGGCAAACTATCTCATTTACCTACTTAAAATAAGGATAAATACACTTAATTTAAGAAATATTTACTTATTTCTAGATCGTTTTTGCAGTGTAGCCAAAGCTTGGTCTGATTGACTGGAAGCAGGAAGAACCTGCTTCTAATCCACACCATGACCAAGAGCTCAGTTTGTTCTGACTTAGAGCCTGGGAGGCAGCACAGAGCTGCAGGCTAAGGCCGACCTCACTGGGTGGATCCCGGGGTGTGCGTGCGTGCATGCATGCATGTGTGTGTGTGTGTGTATGTGTCTTTTAGACCCAGCAGCATGGAAACTCAACATGTTTATTTTATTAGAGCAGATTGATGCTTTGGATGTTCTTTTGACTAAAGGACGACCTGTTTCCTGCAGCGTTCCTGGGACTCGGCCCCTTTTAACCCTTTATATTCTTTAAGCCAGTTTCAGCCTTAAACCAGCTCACGTGGTTCATGTATATTACGAATGTTGGTTTATATGTCTGCCTCTGGTGCTGAGCATGCCAGAAAATATGGTTTTATATCATCTAGATGGGAGTGCAAACAAAACATGATACATGTTAGAGCAACAATGCATTGTGAGAATGCATAGAATTTGAATCATAACTCAGGAAATTGTCTAAATCTGAATTTGTTGGTAAAATTAAATAAATAAAGACAGACTTTACAACTGATATAATAGACAACTGACCAAAATTCTAAAAACTATTTCTGATTTTGGTTATGAAGCTTTTTAGCTTCTCTGGGCAATCAAGGAATGATGGTTGATAAAATTAGTAACATGAATAATTTAAGTATAATTGTAGAAAACATTAGTTAAATATATTCAATTCAGTTTATTATAGTCGCATCGATTCAAACCAATGGAAAACCAGCTGATTGCATTGACTCATTGACCGAGCATGCATGCAGCAACAGTGGAAAGGAAAAACTCCCTTTGAACAGGAAAAAACGTTCAGCATTTATAATATTTATGATACATGGGGATATGTATGGAGGATAAAAAGTGCCAAAATAAATAAATAAATACAGCATTAAATAAATAATTAAATTTGTCAATAATTAATTAAATGTGGAATTAAATAAATAAATGTGTCATTCATTAATTAAAACCACGTCACTAATATAAAGTGCCACAATTAAATAAATAAATACAGCGATAGACAATTAATTAAATGTGTAATTCATTAAATAAATAAGGAATTAAATATATAAATGTGTCATTAATTTAATAAAATACGTCTTAATTTTATTAAAAAAATATATATAATTATTTGAGTGTGCATTTAATTATTTCATGGTCCTGTGTCGCAGTGCATCGAAACCATTAAAAGAATCTGTCAAACTCACCCATCAAAGTTAGGGGGCGGTTATGTAACACCTGATTGGTCACCCTGCACATTAAGGCAAAGGAAATTGATTACAGAGACTTGATTCGCGTTAACCCCGCCCCCTAACTTTGATGGGTGAGTTTGACAGATTCTTTTAATGGTTTCGATGCACTGCGACACAGGACCATGAAATAATTAAATGCACACTGAAATAATTATATATATATTTTTTTATAAAATGAAGACGTATTTTATTAAATTAATGACACATTTATATATTTATTTCCTTATTTATTTAATGAATTACACATATAAATTAATTGTTTATTGCTGTATTTATTTATTTAATTGTGGCACTTTATATTAGTGACGTGGTTTTAATTAATGAATGACACATTTATTTATTTAATTCCACATTTAATTAATTATTGACACATTTAATTATTTATTTAATGCTGTATTTATTTATTTAATTTTGGCACTTTTTATCCTCCATAGATACGAGCTCCCAGGTTATTTTATCTAGCTGAATTTAAAACACTGTCTAACAAAAAAGCAATGTTTGTTAAAAAAATTTTTAATTTCTAAATCTGATGTGTTATTGCAAAAACAGGTAGAGGATGTCATGTGGAAGAGTAATTTTACAGTATTTTGCTAAATTTGAAATATGTTAATTAATTATAAAAAATGTGCTTTTTGTTCTCTTTTACATGAAAACAGGATCAGATCTCATCTGCTCACTTTTTTTCTCCCAGTCAGAGCCACATGTGAAGCTAGTCTACCGTTAGCTTTTATAACATAGAATGTTTTTATAAATTATAGTAAGCCTAAGATACAACTCATCAACTTTAATAGATGCTTTAGTTAAAGCTCCCATAAGGAGCTGAAGTTCTTCAGGCCTTCTGACTGATTTGGTCCAACTTTTGCTCCGACATTATACCTGACGGCTTAATCTGCAATTATGGCCCCCAAAAAACTCAGATCCAGTCAATGCAACCTCCAATAATATCACATTATCATCCATTAATAAAAGTACAGAGCAAAAAGGTAATTTTCTTTATTTTCCTGTTCCAGCAAAATAGTATTTGATATAATCCAGCTGCCAAGAACTTGGTACCCCCCTACCCATATATCAAGTATTCATGATTTGCTGTACCTTAAACACGGTCTGTAGTGAGAGTAGTTGTATTATAAGAAACTTAAAAAGACTTAAAAACCAGACATACATTTTTTAAATTCTTGGTTGATTTAGAAATAATGCAACCTTCTTCCACCCAAAATCTCATGAAAGATGATATTTTGAAGTAGATGTCTTAAAAAGATGCATTAATTCCAAAATGCTATTAGATTTTCCATTTCATCTAAAATTCATGATTAATTAATTATCATTAATTATTAATTATGATGATATATTTTTCTCCTTCTTTATAATCTTTGTCTGTTTCAGCTCATCTATGTACGCTTTAAAATAAAATAAAAATTAGACTAAACAAAAGTGATTTGTAAAACACAGCCCCGTCACTTTGCGTCTGCGCCAAGTCACGCCGTTGTCTAGATGGATGTTGTCTGGAAAGTCTGGCCTACACTTAGGAACATAAATGTGGTGCAACTGAAGGAAATACGTCCTCGTTCCTTTTTCTGTTTTATTACTGGCTTCTAAAGTTATTGTGGGAGTGTCTGTCAGGGAGCAGAAATTCTAAATGTCCTGATTATTATTCTGAAGGATTTTAATCTTTTGTGATTATGATTTTATGACTTTAAGCAAATTTTCAGACTCACTGAGGCTCATTTATTCTCAGCCGCGTAAATTACTTGTCTCAATATACAAGGACAAAGATATTCATGGTTCATCCCGTCCTGATGGTCCAAACAGATATCGTGTTCCAGCAGCTTAATCACTAAATAAAACTGATTAAACATAACTGAAAATCGTCTGAACTAGAGCCAAAACTTTAAGAGATTCTCATGTGGACCAAGAGTTTTACTGGCAAGGATGAGCAAAGTCCAGTTAACAAAATGAAGTATAGGAAACCTTTAATGGATCCTGTTGCAAAGTTCCAGAAGCTGAGAAGCTCTTCAGAGCTTCAGAAGAGCTGAGACTCGGTAGGAAAACAAAGAACTGTGTGAATT